AAATTATTATATAAACGCATTTTTAAAGTTTTATTTTACAGTTAGTTTAGTTACGTTACCAAGATTAGACCAGGGCTGGATTCAGACCCTCAAAAATATTGTACATGGAAATTAAAATTATACTATTTTAAATAAATTATATCACGTTTGACGTCTCATGTTTCTTTTTTCCCATGTACCAGGATTTTGGCGTCACGTGTCTAGTTTATCTATACGTCGTTTTTTGACGATTTTATTTTTATTTCTGTTTAATTTTTGTCTAAAGAACTTAGTGTAAGTTAAATTTTGAATATTGGTACCTAATAATATTTTATATTCAATTAGAGTAAAACGAAAAGAATAGTAAAGAAACCATATCTACTTAATTGAATCTGAAAATTTGATTAATAAAATATTTTGAAATTCTGTTTTCAAACCGATTGCTTCTGGAGCATAGGGTTTTTATCTTGGTAGCCCCTCATTAAAGTTGTATCAAGGATCCAACAGAAATGCATTGATCGAGCATAATTATATATAGCTAATTCTAATTTTATTAAAAAACGCGGTACTCATGTACAATACAAAAATTCTCGATATCGTAGGGTTTAATATTAAAATTTAAAAGGACCCAATAATAATACAAGTCGACCTTTAGGTAAAATTATGGTATTTTCGCTTTGTATTATTACGATACTATATACTACAAACTATGAAATAATGATACAATTAGGATAATTATACTACGAAATCCGACCCTGGTTACGTCGTGTTTTGATATGACGTTTGTATTATGACAGATGCGCTACTTTTTCTTGTATGAAAAAGTTATGAGCAAAATATTTAGAAGGGCCTATCTTTCCTTTTGAAATTATTGACTAGAACGGCTATTTTAAACAACAAATGTGCTCTACTCTGTGTTCGCGCGGTTGTTTTTTTTATTATAGAATAAACATAGGTAGAATGATCCGTAGGTAATAATAGATTATATTGTTAAATAGGTTAATTATATCGAGAATAATATTTAAATTTTGTCATTTATTTTGTATATTATATTTGCTTATTTAATATAATTTTACATAATATTATATTACAATTACATTTTAATGATATTTTTATCTGAATATTTTAAAAGGTATCTATGTCAAATATAAAAAGAAAACATACTAAATGTATATCTAACAAAACTTACTAACGTAACATTTAACATAGAAATATATTTATTTAAATTATAATAAGAGTCGTTCATAAATGCTGGGTACGCGAGAGTTAAAAATGGACGAATTTATTCCACTTTACTTTGATGTGGAAACCTAAAAATAAAATAAAAGAATAATATTAAACAGATTTAAATATGAAAAATTTTGCCTAATCATATTAACTTATATATGCTTCTACAAAAAAATGTGTATAATAATATATTCGTCCTATACTTAAGTACCCACAGAAATGTCGCATCTGAACATATTAATTTCATAATCTATATTCCATGAGACGAGATGGCGTCTTAGGAATAATTTTTTATTATTAATCTATAATAATTTTTTATTTTACAGTTAGTTTAGTTACGTTACCAAGATAAAACACAGTCAAGTTAATGTCGTTAATTTGTTCTTTTTTATGTTCTACCATGTTTTAGCACATGTAAATTAAACATAAACGTTTATTAAGAAACAAACTGACTCCCATGGCTGTGGGACACGGTAGATAGGTCAGTTGGTTAGAGCATCGGCACCAATCGCTTAGGTCGTGGGTTCAAACCGGTGTCAGTTGACTTTACTAATTTCTGATTAAATATTTAGACATTTATTCATTTAGTTGTTCTTTACTACGGATATGTTAATTCAAGTTTAAAATGTACATACTCTGTTAAGTTGTTCTTAAATCTAAAGTAACATTTACTAAATAGGAATAGGCTAATAGGTAATTGCGAGACTTGCGAGACTCTTGCTGCAAAACAAAGACCAAAACCAAGGCTGGAAGCGCAATAATTTTTAGGCCAATACACCTGGTCTTGGTCTTGGTCTTGACCAAGACCAAGACCAGGTGTATTGGCCTAAAAAAAGACCAAGACTGGCTAAGTCTCGTCTTGTTCTTATAATTGGGAAATATCGAAACAATGTCGTAAAGATGTTAAAAAATACTGGACCTAACTTCGAGCCTTGCGGTACACCAGAGTAGGCAATATAAGGCTGCGGGGAGTACCCATCAATCACCACGGTCGAAGGTCTGCTTTGAAGGTATGATGCACACCAGTTCAATAATTTCCCATTTATACCAAAGGCTCTCAGTTTATTGACAAGTAGTGCGTGATTTACTTTGTCAAAGGCCTTACAGAAGTCTGTGTATATATCATCCACTTGTAGTTTGTCATCAACGTTCTCAATTAAATCGGCGAGGTATAAGAATAGATTTTTGTCAGTAGATCTACCAGACAAAAAACCATGTTGTTGCCAACTAATACGTCGTCCTAGATTTTTGAAAACAGATTCATAGACTAAGCTCTCAAAGACCTTTGACATAGTAGATAATATGGAAATAGGTCTATAATTAGTAACACTAGTAACACTAATTAGTAACATTAGTAACACACATGTTTTAGAAAATAATCTATCAGCAGGTACAGAAGTTCCTACATGCAAACAAATATTAAAGAAGAATGTTCGGGTTCATTTTCTAAAATTGCTTCATAACAGCTAAGCTCCGTCATCATTATAGTTGTAATTTCTGTATATCAGTTTAATCAGTATATTATGTATCTTTATACATCTTACATATATATGAGTCAGCCAGATGGTTACTTTGTGTTAATTCTTGTTTAAAAGTATTAAAACAGTAGTACATATAATCCTATACCTTTAAACGAGCAATTCTTGTATTAAGTCTTATTATGTGAAATAATCTGTACAACTAATCACCGCAGCAAGGCAAGAATAGTGGCGTTGTCAAGCGCAACAGAGTAGTGTTGCCCAATTATAAGAACAAGACGAGACTTAGCCAGTCTTGGTCTTTTTTTTAGGCCAATACACCTGGTCTTGGTCTTGGTCTTGGTATTGCGCTCCCAGCCTTGGTCTTGGTCTTTGTTTTGCAGCAAGAGTCTCGCAAGTCTCGCAATTACCTATTAGCCTATTCCTATTTAGTAAATGTTACTTTAGATTTAAGAACAACTTAACAGAGTATGTACATTTTAAACTTGAATTAACATATCCGTAGTAAAGAACAACTAAATGAATAAATGTCTAAATATTTAATCAGAAATTAGTAAATTCAACTGACACCGGTTTGAACCCACGACCTAAGCGATTGGTGCCGATGCTCTAACCAACTGACCTATCTACCGTGTCCCACAGCCACGGGAGTCAGTTTGTTAACGTTTATGTTTAATTTACATGTGCTAAAACATGGTAAAACATAAAAAAGAACAAATTAACGACATTAACTTGACTGTGTTTTAAAGAATAGTACCCGGATGACTGAGCTTAGCTCGGTTTTTTTAAATTACATTTAGATACAAATTACATACTGATGAATAATATTTTTTGATCTTATTGACTTAATAGAAAAACTGAACTGGTTATTTGAATAAAAAATCATGAGTGCAATTAGTTTAATTAAAATCGTATTTTTAAAAATTACTAAAAAAGGTCTATCAATAATAGATTTTCTCACAAAAGAATGGAACTTAAAAAAAAAGGAAAATAAGTCGGACCGAAGACTGGACGCGAACCAAGGTATTAAGATTTCGCAACCACTCGCTATCCACTTGAGCTATTACGATCATTTACGCAACGTCAAAATTTACCTTCTTATATTGTTCCGATTATATATATATATATAATCGGAATCTCGGAAACGGCTCCAACGATTTTCATAAAATTTAGTGTCCAGGGAGTTTCGGGGGCAATAAATCGATCTAGTTAGGATTTATTTTTAGAAAATGTTTTTTGTCCGTGTTTTCGGACAATGAAAAACTGCTACAATATAAGAAGGTAAATTTTATGTTTTACCATGTTTTAGCACATGTAAATTAAACATAAACGTTTATTAAGAAACAAACTGACTCCCGTGGCTGTGGGACACGGTAGATAGGTCAGTTGGTTAGAGCATCGGCACCAATCGCTTAGGTCGTGGGTTCAAACCGGTGTCAGTTGACTTTACTAATTTCTGATTAAATATTTATACATTTATTCATTTAGTTGTTCTTTACTACGGATATGTTAATTCAAGTTTAAAATGTACCTACTCTGGTAAGTTGTTCTTAAATCTAAAGTAACATTTACTAAATAGCAATAGGCTAATAGGTAATTGCGAGACTTGCGAGACTCTTGCTGCAAAACCAAGACCAAGACCAAGGCTGGGAGCGCAATACCAAGACCAAGACCAAGACCAGGTGTATTGGCCTAAAACCAAGACCAAGACTCGCTAAGTCTCGTCTTTTCTTATAATTGGGCAACACTACCTGTGATTGATACAATTAAGAGTGCATTGGTTACTTGACTCAAACTATCATAATTCTATGATACGTGTCCATTTTTATACAAAATGAAAATAATTCCTCTAAGGTCAAAAAGCCTGTGTTGATTTGCAACAATTTCTTTATCTTTTTTTAACCCTTACATCCCTGCCGAACACAATTGTGACGGTAGTTTGAAGCAAAATTTCCGTTAAATTAATAATATTATTTAGACGGGCCCAAGCTCGCACGATTGTGCCGGCTATCTACTTTGCATTGGTGTGAGTGAGACAAGTTGCGTACGAGCCGCTCTTCATGTTTCGACCCGTTCATTCTGACGATCATCGCCACCTGTGTCACGCCACGTGTTGGTAAGAATATTTTACTTATTTTTAAAGAAATCATAACAATTGTGGTATTATTTTATTACGTATTAATTACTTTACACAAAGCTGAATTAGTTGTGTCGTTGTATTAGGTTTAATGTACGAAAAATTAAGTAAGAAATTTACCGTCACAATTGTTGCACGCCGGCCCCAATCAATAAAAAAATACCATTTTGGCGGGAAACATGTCTCAGCTCGATGATGAGGATATTGAAAATTTACTGCAGCAATCTGACCTAGAGGATATAGGTGATGATGAGGACGACACATGGGCCCCGGATGCTGAAAATGACGGTTTATCTGATGATTCTGAGGACGACATGCCTCTGTCTTCACTGCCGATTTCTCGTGAATCTGATGATGGAAAATGGATTAAAAAGAAGTTCCGTGGTAGGCCTACCGCAGTCCAACAGCCTCCAGACCCAGGTGAGCCACCAAAATCGCCAGCAGAGTATTTTGAAAACTATTTTACTGAGGAATTATTTGAACAGTTTTCGACTGCCACTTCACAGTACTATATAGCTGAAAAGGGGTGTGCAATGAAGCCACAATGCTCGCCAGGTGAGATTAAAAAAGTTTTTTGGGGTTCATGGTATGATGAGTCTTGTCAAATGTCCTAGGATGAAGATGTACTGGCATCAGAAATTTAAATACGATCCTATTGCCTCGGCGGTGTCTCGTGATCGTTTTTTTTTTATTACGAGTTAATCTGCATGTTGTTGATTATAATAGCGTTGATGAGGACGAAAAGGCCAGGAACCGTTTGTGGAAAACACAGCCTGTGATAGACGCTGTTAGAAATCGTTGCCTGGCATTGCCTCGAGAAAGCACTACATTCTCCATAGATGAGCAAATGATTCCTTTTACTGACCGATGTCCTGACAAGCAATATGTGCCAAACAAACCTAGACCTGTAGGCTTAAAAAATTTTGTAATTACAAAACCACAGGGCCTAGTACTTGATTTTGAAATATATCAAGGTGCTACAACTGACTTGCCCGATAGGTCTTTTGGTTTGGGTCCCGCCGTAGTCTTGCGTTTAGCAACGACTCTTCTTGGCGGAAGCTTATATTTTGATCGCTACTTCACGACGATCCCTTTGCTCAGAGAACTAAATGACAGGCACTTTGATGGAACCGGCACAATCATGGCTAATAGGTTCAAGAAAACTTTGTACACTTTTAAAAAAAGATTCTGCAATGAAGAGAGGTGAATGGGAAGAGATCGTAAGCCCGGATGGAAAACTTTGTATAGTGAAATGGAAGGATACGAAGAGCGTGCTAATGATTTCATCAATACACGGTAGGGACCCAAGTAGCACTGTATCACGATGGGATAAAAAAACAAGAGCATATCAAAGCATACCATGCCCAAGCGTTGTACAAAATTACAATCAAAACATGGGTGGCGTGGATTTATGTGACCAGATGTTAGAAACTTATAGGACATGGTTCAAAACAAGGAAATGGTGTTTTAAGTTCATTATCCATCTTTTTGACCTTGCCATAGTAAATTCGTGGTTTGAGTACAGGGAAGATGCCAAACGAAACAATTTGCATAAGTCTAAGATCATGGATTTACTGAGCTTCCGTTTGTCCATTGTGGAGTATTTATTGGGTGAACCAACCAGAAAACGAACCAGAGACGACTTGGAACTTGCTGAAATGCCAAGTACATCTGAGTACAGACCAGCTCCTATGCAGACAGTTGACAAACGCTATGATGGCTATAACCATTGGCCCATATTCGACACACTTCCAGCTCCTAGAAAATGCAGGTTATCTAACTGCTCCAGTCGATCCCGTGCTCGTTGTTCTAAATGCGACGTGTATTTGTGCTTAACTAAAGACAAGAATTGTTTTTTTTTTCTTTTCATAATAATATCTAAAACTACTTTGTTCAATAATCGCCTAATTAAATGGATCTCATGTTTGAATACAATTTTCTTTAAATGTATAAGACTGTTAAAATAGTTATGTTAACTTTTATGATTGATGATTGTCCTAAGTTCCTATTATTTTACTAAGACTTTAAATAAACGAAATTTCAAATTTCCATATTTTTTATTTCATCTATAACAATAGATAAATATATTATAACACACAAGAATCTCTAATCGTAGTCGTCTGTCTCTAACTGTACTCACGAACAGTATGGCCCCAGTTGAAACAATTGTGACCCTCACAATTGTGACGCAGTAACACTAGGGCCCAGGTAAACACAATTGTACGCCACCTGAAATACACTGAAAGAAGCCTTATATCACTGTAAACAGGTCATACCAGTCTTCACTATACCTCGAAGACTTTAAATAAAAAAGAATATGTGATCCTAACCCACGCGGCGTCGGCGCCGGTCTGTAAGGGTTAAAACTGTCTGCAAAACAACAGTTTAAATAAAAGTTCTCAAACAAGATTATTAAGTCTTATTATGTGAAATAATCTGTACAACTAATCACCGCAGCAAGGCAAGAATAGTGGCGTTGTCAAGCGCAACAGAGTAGTGTTGCCCAAATAAAAGAACAAGGCGAGACTTAGCCAGTCTTGGTCTTGGTTTTGCGCCAATACACCTGGTCTTGGTCTTGGTATTGCGCTTCCAATCTTGGTCTTGATCTTTTTTATGACATTGACATTAACTTGACTGTATTTTAAAGAATATAATCTGTCTAGAGAGATTGATGACCATCACCTTATATGAAACGGAATAAAAGAGTTATACAATTTATATAATTTACCATTTATTTTATTATATTATTCGATTAGCATTGTAGAAATTTTTTATACGTTTCAAACGTGTTAAGTGTCTACAATATTTATCAAATGGGTGACGACATAATCGAGCACTTTGTATTTTAAAAACACACATCCAAAAATCGAGATTTGCAGTGAACTTAATGAACATGTTTATCTATTATGCAATAATAATAATAACAGTAAGTAATTATTATAATATACCCACATAGTTATGATTATAATAATTACTTATTAGAATAAATTATTATTATATCTACCTATCCTTACCATTATTTAATTACAATATTCCTTGCGAGATCAGCATAATGTATTCATGTCCATTCTTAGCACCCGGAAACTTACTTTATTCTTTGGAACATGTACTCTGTGGCGGCAATCGAACAGAGTCAAACAATGTACTCTGTGGTGTCAAATGTAGTGCGTGCGGCGCGGCGGCGACGATTGTATGCGATATCAATAGAAGCCATCGGCGCGTGTATCTTGACCTTGTACTTCTAAATAGCTGCAAAATTTCTTAAAATCAAGGTGCCGATGGTCAAAACTAGGGATGCACTTTTTTTTCTTTTAATGGATATTTTCATTCACTATGTATGTTCATGGTATTATTCGTAATGCGCATCAATAAAATTTTACAAATTTTTTAAATATATTTTTGCGTCTCATAGAGTCCCTAAGCGTATACCCGAACTACTATACTCCCTGAAACGACACTCAGTCCTAACTGCAAGACGCAAGAGTGCAACACCAAGACTGCAGCAACTGCAAGAACAAGACCAAGACTGCAAGACCAAGACCGATTTCGTGCAACACTACTACAGAGTAGTGTGAGTACAAATGGGTCGGCTCGACCGGGGTAGTACCACGCTCTCACAGAATACCAGCGTAAAATAGCAGCTTAATGCTGCCGTGTTTCGTATGGTGAGTGTAGAGAACTGGAGACCCTTTTTACTGGCAACTTTTGAACCGAGGCAATTCATCTCAGTCCTCAGGGCTGGCAACGCATCTGTATTTTGATTCTTAATTGAATATAAATGTAAATGTCTATGGGCCACAGCATCCACATACCGCTAGGTGGACTGTGAGCTCGTTTATCACTCTTATTCTATAAAAAAAAAAACTTTTAATAAATTCTAAATAAACACTCTCATTAAAAATTATAAACACTTTTCAGTAACTGTTTTTCGATCCCCTAAAAGAATTGTTGCGTAACGACCTGTCCTTCCGAAGAACGAGGCCACCATCTTTTTTCCCACGCTTCGACCTCTCTACACTTTAGTTGGCAAATCCTGAAAGGAAACACCCAGACTGCAGACTGTCTCTTAGTTTCAGGATCATAACAATAAATCCAACTTTTGTCACCCCTAAGTATGTCGAACACAGTATTTGAGTCACCTCCGTTAAATCTGAACCATTTCACGACACCAATCAACACGACGGAGTTTTTGGGCCTCGGTCAAATTATGAGGTGTCCACCGGGCACAAAGCTTCCTGACTGCTAAATGTTCATGGAGGATTTTACGCACTTGACTCATACCGATGCCTAAGCTTGTCCGAATCTGCTAAGTCACTCTTTTGTCCGTCTCTATCATATGCCGCACAACACTGATGTTATCTTCAGTGTTCGCCGTAGAAGCCGTCCCTCACGCAGATCGTCGGTGAGATTAGTGCGACCACGTTTAAACTCATTAAACCAGTTGCAAACAGTGGCACGAGATGGGGCTTCATCGTGAAAGGCCAATCGAAGTCTATATTATAACTTTCTCGATGACATCAAGTCATAAAAAATCATTGTACGTGACTTGTAAAATACTACTTGTGAAATAATAGTCAGGTGTTCTAAATATTGGTATATTTTCAAAAATATTGTATTACATGACCTGCATTATCTATTTACAAAAATAAAATTAGAATAGAACCAATATTTTTAGTTATACAGCTGCTAGTATTAAAGGTATAAAAGAATTAAATATACGATACACTACGATAGAATGGCTGTCGTTTCGCGAAGTACACGTGCTTACAATAATATTTACAAACAAGCCAAAAAAAAATTGATTCATTCGAACTGGATTTACAGATCGTCGCTTTATAATGGAACATATGGTAATATGTACCCGTTATTATCTTTTGTGTAAATTAGGACTAACACACACATACACCATATTTAAATTAAAGAAACAAACTAAAATAGAAGTCTATAACAGTAATGAAGTTTATTGCAGTGGCAGCGTAAGATAATCCACTACCTAGTCATTGTCGTAAGAGGCGAAAGAGAGAAATAAAACAGATGGGCAGCAGCATTATCCTAATAACAACTCAATTTAAAAAAAAACGTATACAAACCCACCTACCAAACAAATATCTCCATGATATGGGGGAGCCCTATGATGGAATATGACAGTGGACTTAATAAGATACAATGAATAAATGAAACGAAGTGTATATTGATCTAGTTACTGCCCGTTGTGATATTAAAATATAAGAATAACCACAAAATTTACTCCTAAGTTCTGTTACTAAATCAAAAATCTTAACAAGAAATGTTTCATTAATAACCAAAATTGACTCTAACGTAACGACCTAAAAGACGCCAAACGCATCATCATTACAGCCCTTCAGAAAAAGAAAAAAAAAGAATTCCACTGCTAAACACAGGCCTCCTACAAGTAATGCCACAAAGCACGGTCCTGAGCCACCTGTATCCATCGACTTCCTGCACGTCTTACCAGGTCGTCACTGATCTAGTGGATCTAGTGGAGCCTACACTTAACCTACCGAGGCTGCCAATCGAGAACCTTTCTTTCCCGTTGGCTGTCTTCGGGCTATATGGCCGGCCCATTGCCACTTTAGCTTACTAATCCGATGGGCTGTAAATGGTCAGTAAATCTATCTCTGCTGCGCGGATATCCTCATTTCTTAGTCTATTACGCAGAGAAACCCCGAGCATAGCCATTTTATAGCTTGCTGAGCGACCTTGAGTTTCCTAATACGACCACGTCTCAGTGCCAATCTCGTGCCAAGCGCAATATCATCTCAAAAGAAGATCAATCTCAAAGAGTTATAAGAAAAAATATCTCAATATCGATTCAACAAGTTGTTTAGGTGTTGTGTGTGTGTGTTAACCCTAATTAATACAACATTCAAACGTAATACGGAGAAAAAAAATAGACGTCAATATTTTTTTCTTTCACAATAGTATTTTAACATACAAAGAGATTTCAATTCAGATTTGAAACAATATTTATAAATAAGAATTTTGTATTTTTGTTTCTGTCAAACCATATTTAGAATATGTTTAAAAAAAACTAACAATTCATTGAAAAAAATAATAGATTTTAACGATATCCGCATACTCGACAAAATCATTACGCTCATTTTATTCAAATGTTTTCATGCAAAAGTATATATATTTTAAAACAGAACATTGTTGGTCAATAAAAAGTGCTTCACCAAATATGATAAGCTCATCTCCCTCTCTCCCTCTCTCTCTCTCTTTCTCTCTTAATTTTTTCTAACTCCTTTCCATATATTCCAAAAATACAACATAGTCAAAAAGCATGGTATCTGGTATACATAAGCGCGACAGTTGACTACACGAAAGCGATGAGAGCTCGTTTCCACGATATAGTATCTTTTGCAACCCACTGTAGGGTTATGTCAAACAGCGAAGAACGAAATGATTGAATGAAAACGTGATTACAATGTTTGAGTAATTTAAAAAGTGCAAGTGACTTATATAATTCTAACACAAGAGTATTAAAGAAGTTCACCAGTAAAATAGGCCTTTCCATTATTTATCTTTGGTACAGTATAACCGCCTATAGTTGTAAAGGAGTTGAAATTTCCTCAAACCTTGGACGATTTATACAATCCAAGGTCAAAGTAAAGGAAATGGGAGATCTTGCAAACCTTATATCATAAAGTTCAAATTTTTTCTTGTACTATAAAATATATACTACAGTCACATATAGACTTCTACTGCAAAGTACTGCCTAGTAGCTGTACTCTGCAGAAGCTAGCTAAGAGGGTTCCAATTACAACATAGGTGCCATCAAAACACCTATAGCGGGCCTATGTCAGACCTAGCCAACGTCATCATGGGTTACGACAAACACATTCTTATAATATGTAAGTCTTTAATTAGTCCGTATTATTTGGAACAATATCATATGTTCAGCAGTGGACGGGTGATGAATTGTAACGATGATGATAATTTGAAACAGAATCGTGTCGTAGTTTTACACTTCTATTAGTGAAAAATCGCATCAGTGCCCTCCGTTGCTCAAAAACAATTATCGGAAGAAAAAACGGATATCGTACAGCACAAAAATCGATAAAAAAAAACAGAGAAAAAAGATTTTTGCATTAACTACAAGTTTCTTCTCCAGTCCATCCTTACTGAAGGAAGCTTTCAATAAATAAGTTTGAAAATTAATCGCCTATGAAAAGAGCGTTAGAGTTAGTGTATTAAAAACAATCTGTTGAGAATGAAACTTAACACTACACAAGTCATTTAGTACTACTGTTATCAAAAAAATTGTACTTTCAAAATAAAACATTTCGATCACTACGATAAAAATGAAATCGTTCCGTTCGTCGCTGTTTCCTACTTAAACTTCAAGTACCCTAACTTAAAAACTAGATTTTCATTTATATAAAAAAACTCGCAACATTCCTAAAGCTTATAGTTTAATACCACGCGCAGAAACTAAGCTGAGACCCGGTTCTGATGACGCCAGAGCGTGTCGAAACGAGAGAGCCTGAGTGGCAGGCGGCGCGGGGGAACAGGATAACGAGGAGAACGGGGGGGGGGGGGTTAAGTTAGTTTCTGCGTGTTGTACGTCGATAATAAAAGCTGATCAGTCGGACGCAGGCCTTGCATGCGCTCCACAATACTTCAACGGTACTTAAGTCCGCGTGCCTTAACTTTGTAAAAAAAAATGGAAAAGGTAAGAAAAAAAAGAATTTCATTTCCCACGTTAACACTTATCAATAGCACACGAACGTAAAATAAGAATTAAAAGAAATTTAACCTCTAACTGAACACAAATATACGCTTACGACGCTTCTATTTCGACTCGAAAAAGGGTGACATATGGTAGATAATTTATTTTTTTCCCTATAATTTTACTCTTCACTATACAGCAACTGACAAAAACTATTTTCCCACAGCCGTAATAAACGATATAAACTAATTAGCCTCAATTTTTTTAATTCTAAAATTTGTGAACGCACGCCTCTTCTCATTTTAAATATACAGGATTATTTTTCAAATAGTAGCCAAATTTTATACTTAAGTTCAAAAATATAAAAAAGAGGTCTAGGTGGGACCCGAAAGTTCCACACGACTAACTTCCCAGTGGAAGGAATATAATAATATCATATATTTTAATATTTTATACAAGTTTTCATTCGGCACAAAAAACGATTTGACCCATTTTGCTCAAAATTTAATGAGGTCTAAGTTAAATAATTACGCGTTAAATGAAACTGGTCCCATGTCAATATCACTCTTTGTTCTCGAAATACACGAGGCGAAAATTTAATCCGAACATACATACATACATACCATACTATTCGACTCTAAAGACCTTGAAACGTGGAGATATGTTAAAATTTCCAATTTGCAAAATCGGACCCATTACAATAACTTCCCGATATACCGTTATTGGAGCTTTTAAAAATACGAGTATATAAGACTTCTACTTTTTTTTTAAATTATCTCAAACTACGCATACGCGCGCTCCTGTGTGTGCGATTCAATTCACAACTTTTTTTGCCGAGCGATCGACCCGTACGAATGTGTGCGTAGTAAAGTATATAAAATATAATAATAAAATAGTTAAAATTATGCACACATTCTGAATTTAAAGAATAAAAAGGACAGAATGTTAGAATTTTTTTTATTAATTTTTTTTGACATTCGTCTGCATACTTATTCTGAATCGTCTCTGGTAATTGGGCCGTATGTTGTAAAATAACCCTGTATAATGAAGTAATAAAGAATCAGTCACACTTCAAAGCGAGTTAACGTATTTCAAATGTCTAAGAAGTAATCCATTTTACGTCATGTAGATTATAGCACTAAATTCTTTTTCAACTTAGATCGAGCTGAAAATAATTTCAACAGTGGACTATTACAACATAGATTTTAGTATACTTTTAAGTCATTACTTACGTTGTTAGTAGATTTATATTCCCCATAATAACTCCACTTTTAATTAGAGGCTATGCTATAAAACTTCTTCAAACCCCACCCTTTTTCACTCTAAACAGGGTAAATAATCGAAACGAAATCGCCAAGCAAATTAAAGCCTCGTTAAATTGGAGTCGGATGCAAGACCTTATTCACTACATCCCAAATTGCTTCACCGTTGGGACGTCTCAACACTTAAAATCAAATTTATTTACAAAACCGCAAATGCGATGATTCAAATTTCGAATTTAGGCTTTGTTGCGATAGTACTGGATCATATTGTTGAATAAACTATATTCATTAAAATTGATTGAATGTTCCGTCAAATGTTAAGCGACAAAATAGTGAAAAGAGAAAAAAGTGACACAATTGAACTATTTCATTCATACAAATTTTTAACCATTTATGTTATATTTAATCATATTAATAACATTTTGCTGACCATTGAAAAATCAGCCTTAGTTGAAGTGACAGTTTATTAGAATCAATCTTAATAGGTATAAAATATTTAGCAATTTGAGAATCGGCCCTAATTTTATATTTATTTAACGAAGTAAGTCATGACACATCAAAAGAACCATTCGTCTATAACATTGAGACTCACAAAGTTGAACCATCGCATTCGCTAAACATACAGCGTAAACTCTTACCGCAACATTACATTACATTGTCATAATACGTTTTATTTAGATCATACAAAATCTAAATGTACATAGCCTAACCTAAGTAAAAACGTTAGACAGTCGTCCGCTATTCCACAAGACATAACACTCCGTCTTGTCATAATACAAAAACATATCGAAATAATAGTAAATACATCAAAAACGTCACATAAGGCTGTGCACACTGCTAAACTTAAATTTCTTCAATACCAAGGAGTATATACAAGGGTAATTATTAATCTAGTTACCAATATGCAAAAGAGTTGTTACAATTACAGAATGCATGCCTCTATTGATAATTTGTGCTAATTTTGGGGTATCATTGTTACATTTTTGGCCTTAAATTGTATTAAACATTCATTAATATAATAGGTTTTCACAAAACCTTCATGTTACACTGCGTATATCTAAACCAAAAATCGAAATAAATAACTTATAACGGTAATTCAAATGCGCGTAATGTGGCCTCATCAGTTACCGACAATAAATACGTAAAATATTTTGATTCTTATATATTTTTTATATTTCTCATTTCACACATACACCATTCTCTTTGGACACTATTTCAATTTGGTATACATTTATACCAACATAGTTATAAAAAAATTATAATCATTTTACAAAACATAACAAAGACAACCTATGAATACAAGTCATCACATATACAAAAAAAACAAAGGAACTCGTCGCGAGAAACTAAAAAAAGACTGACTAGACATGTGTCAATCGTGAATGAACCGTTCATTTGACTCGGGTCGCAAAGTATTGATAATTACAACTACATTTTTTAAACGTTCCGAATCAAACTATTGACATGACCTACGAATGACCCGGTTCTAGAAGAATCAATACTTAAATGATTGAGTCGCTAGAAATAAATCAATGACACATGTCTAACTATGACATGTGAGTATGATTGTATAGAAAAATCGATTCTAAAAACTTATTACCGGAAGTTTTACCGACAGATCTATATCTATGGTAATATCTAAATTGTATCATAAGAAACGATAGACTCCGGGAAAACTATTATTCTATATTATAGTAGGAGATATAAAAAGTAGGCAGATTCGTAGATATGTACAGCGTTTGGCGTATAGCCACTGCCAGTATGTACTTAAATTTAAAATACTAAAACCTGCAGAAATTAATAGTTTCTTTGCAAATATACTACGATCAAGCATACACGCTAATGTAATCTGTAGACCAAGGAGCCTTGATTTCCACTAAACTGTGGTTCGAAATTCCACTAAACCGAATTTTTAGTTCATAATGTTCAGGCTTTATCAAATAAATATTTATAATGTGCTATACAACCAAATATATTGAGCTAATAGTATAAATACTCACTGTCATACATTACTGTAAATTGCGTGGCAGATGTCTATGTGACATCGATATTTACCCACCAGTCAGCTACTATATAAAAATGTTATTCGTGGAGGGACTTGAATCAAGAATATCCACAAAAATATGTAATTTTTCAAATATGATCGTTTCACTTTCATTTTTTTTTAAAAACAACAGTCTAAATAATTAAAAAAAAAAACAATGTCTACACTTATTAGCAAAATGAAGGAGTAAACTATAACAGCCTTACTCATTAAATCGACCTCAATTTAAAAAATTCCTAAAGTTACTCTCCCTTTTCACTAAATGACAATATAAAGAGAAATGTATAGGGATAATTATTTAATTTAAAGTAAACGATAATAATCAAACATTATAAGTAAAACCGTTACAATAACCATTTAAAATAGTTTCACATAGTTTCATTCTAAAAACTTTTACACTTAAGAATTTTAATAGTGTTATATTTTAAACCACCTTGATTCAATCGCACTCTTAGTCAGAAGGAAAAGAGAATAAAGCTTTAAAACCGGAAGTGGAACTTTAGAACTGTTTGTAAAAAGAACATTTCAGTGTGTTGTTCTAGTTCACGTTAAAATAATAACATATTAGAAATCACTAACAACTGTCATACTTCATATAATTTTATATAAAAATATCAATAATAATTTAATGTTATAGACAATCGAAATTGATACAAATAAAAAAAGTCCGTGTATGTCCACTTCGGCACAGAATAACTTTTAATTAAATTGAGCAAAAAAACTGAAACTAAGACTTTTCACCTATTACAGAAGGCAAGAAACTTTCCTGATTATTTTTGAGTACCAGTCTCAAGCGACTTTAGAACCTACGTGTTCATATTTAACGTGACAAATACTTCCAACATGAATGAGCTTAACTGTCTTCTAATAGATTATGCAGCTCCGCATAATTCAATATGGCACGATGTAAAAATTCATATTGTAACTGAAACAAAGGAAATATACGTAAGTAAATTTTAAACTACTGTATAGTGGCAGTGTAAGAATATCACCATATCATCCAGTGGCTGTCGTAAGAGGCGACAGAGGGAAACAAATCATGAAATGGGCAGCAGCATCTTCCTAATAACAACTAAAAGTAAAAACTACAGTTGCCAAGCCGCTTGCCAAGCGTGGCAACTGTGGCAAATACCCCCCCCCCCCCCCCTGACTTAAATACAAAATAAAAAAGAAGAGTAGTGGCAGCTTCTATCCCTTTCCTCTTTCCATTTCCAATAACATTTTAAAACTCCAAAAAAACGTTTAAATCAAGCAATCACAAAAAACTTTTTTTATAACACCCCTCCTTTCTGGGGGTTAATAAAAAGGAAAAAGTTATTAATACGCAGATCGAAGTAATTGACTTTCCTATTCTTAGTTGAATGGCATTGTACCTACTATGGAAGACAAGTAGGCAAAAAGAAGCACTGGCACTTAGGAGAATTAAAAAAAAACGACGGGTTGCACTCCGGGAGTGCCGGCAGAAGTGAAAATTTGAATATTAACGTTGTGCATTTTTGATATTTTGGAATGATTAGGGAATAATTTTGCACGAATTGCTTTAATTATCACACACGAACATTCGCGCAAGCGCCCTGCGCCGCCCAAACGAAACAGCAGGCGCAGGCATACATTTTCGGCGCGCCGTAGAAAGAGAGGGGGATACTTCCTCTCCTACCCCGCGCCGGCTATCTCTCTCTCTCCATCCGTCTTACGAATTTTCGATCAGGGTCACGTGTCCTAACGCGACTTTAACATTTTTTACCCATTACAAAAAAGTGTACAACGCCGCTAAAGAAGTTTTCACTTCAAAACTTACGAAAGTGTCGATGGTGCGCGCACGTTGTGACCGCACTTTGCGGGCGACGCTGTTGACGTCCACACGCCGTTCGATGCGCAGCTGCCAGATCAGTATGCACAGTGCCACGAATAGCGACGACCTTTCAGTTCCCAGGCTGTAGGTGAAATTTAATTTAACACGTTAAACGGAATAAATTTAATAATATTATTCCACAACTATCACACAACGGCATCTAGTCCCAAGCTAAGCAGAGCTTGTGTTATGGGTACTAGACAACTGATAAACATACTTATATATTTCTAAATACATAAATATTATAGATAAATTACACCCAGACACAGAACAAATGATCGTGCTCATCACACAAACATTTGTCCTGGGTGGGAATCGAACCCACGACCTCCGGCATAGCAGTCAGGGTCACTAACCACTAGACCAACAGGCCTGTCAAATTGTGAGCACCAACCTTTCTTTAGACGGTGTGATGTAGAACAGCCTATACACTACATATAAACACATCAACAGAATCTAGGGACACTTTAATCCTCAATTATTTTACTTAATTATTATTTATTAATTTACTTTATAGTATAAAATATTTTTAGTTTCATAAAACATAAAAAATTTATATACAGATTGAAACCTCTTTTATTCTCCTTTCAAAATTTAAAAATGTAAATAAAAAAATAAAAGAAATAACAAAATACGCCTGGGAAAATTGTTAGTAATTGGTTACGCCAAGGAAAATTAAAACTATTCTACTGATATTAATTAACGAAAAGGGAGAATATTGTTTTTTGTTTAAAATAACGTGCCGTGTGAGCTTAAGAGTCATGTCACGTCGTCCATTTGAGTCGAGATGAAATGTTACGAGTCGTGGGCATGTTAGAAAACGGTGCTATTCAGCGTATCGTTGCTGAGGCCGTATACACCAGCCAAAATGTGATACCAGGGTTGTGGTCACGTTATCGCAGTACTGGGAATGTAGCTGAATGGCACACAGGTAGATATCGTGTTACACGTACACGTAGTGTGCGGTGCAGGGGGGGGTGTGCGGTGTGAGCACGTGGTGTGTGGTGTTTGAGTGCGGTGCGTGTGCGGTGTGTACACGTGGTGTGTGGTGTATGAGTGCAGTGCGTGTGCGGTGTGCAGTGTATGAGTGCGGTGCGTGTGCGGTGTGTGCACGTGGTGTGCGGTGCATGTGCGATGTGTGCACGAGGTGTGCGGTGTATGAGTACAGTGCGTGTGCGGTGTGAGCACGTGGTGTATGGTGTATGAGTGCGGTGCGTGTGCGGTGTGTACACGTGGTGTGTGGTGTACGATTGCAGTGCGAGTGCAGTGTGCGATGTGTATAAGTATGCGGTGCATATGCGGTGTGTGCACGTGGTATGCGTTGTGCGGTGTATGAGTGCGGTGCGTGTGCGGTGTGCGGTGTATGAGTACGGTGCGTGTGCGGTGTGTGCACGAGGTGTGCGGTGTATGAGTGTGGTGCGTGTGCGGTGTGAGCACGTGATGTATGGTGTATGTGTGCGGTGCGTGTGCGGTGTGTGCACGTGGTGTGCGGTATATTAGTGCGGTGCGTGTGCGGTGTTTGTGTGTGCACGTGGTGTGTGGTGTGTGAGTGCGGTGCGTGTGCGGTGTGTGCACGTGGTGTGTGGTGTATGAGTGCGGTGCCGTGTGCGGTGTGTGCACGTGGTGTGGGGTGTATGAGTGCGGTACGTGTGCGGTATGTGCACATGGTGTGGGGTGTTTGAGCGCAGTGCGGTGCGGTGCGAGTACGGTGTGTGCACGTGGTGTGCGGTGTATGGGTGCGGTGCGTGTGCGGTATGTGCACATGGTGTGTGGTGTATGAGTGCGGTGCGTGCACTCACTGGCAGTGCACGAGCAGCGGGCGACGAGCAGCATCGGGCGCGACGGGGGCAGCGGAAGGCGCGGGCGGCGGCGCAGCCAGCTCAGCCAGCTCGGCCAGGCCGCGCGTCACCTCGGGCACGTGGCCCGCCGCCGTGGGCCAGCCCTGGTACTGCAGCTGCCGCACGCAGCTGTACTCGCCACTCTGCCACAGAACACAGTTTATCTCCTATTGTACCGTGAGTATTGTGTACACAAACTATAGTCGTATTTTTAATTAGACGAAGCCAACTGACAGTAGCTAATGTCACTTTGTAAAATAATGTTGCCATATTTAAAGTAATAGTGATGCGTTCAGTTCTCGTTCAATCAGATGAATGAACAATGAGTGTGAATAGTTAATCATTTCAAACTATAAAAGAATATTATTTCTATTTTACAATAAAATTGTATAAAAGTGCTCTGATATAAGTTACTAGTAGTATGTAACTACAATCAGTTTTTTGAGGTTTTATTACAAAGCGCGGCGCGGCGACTAGTGCCAACACCGATCAACGCCGCGCGCGTCGGTCGCCATTTTGTTTGTTATTCGGCTTCTAACCTCTGGTCTGATAGCACGAATGTTTTTTCTGCGCTCACGCTGTTTAGTTATTGTTTTTGTTAAGTTTTTCGTTAGGTTGTGTTTGTGGTAATTGTTGTGTTTATTTGTTGCTATATTGTTTCGTACAAACGATATGGATCCTCAACCAAGCACGTCAAGCCAAAGCTTGTCTCCAAGAAAGAAGAGACCACGGATTGCTTTAAGCGTTACCGAAAAACTTATGATACAAAACGTCTACAAACACGTATTTGAGGAAAAAGCTGCTTCACTATTACCTATTGAGGCCCCCGAAAAAAAAGAATGTGTTTCGAAAACAGCTGACATTTTGGGAATTGATGTGACCTCAGTTTACAGTGTGTTAAAAGAATGCAAAGAAAATGAACAATTTAAGTCTCCCGAGAAACGTGGACCGAAACACAGTTTCAAAGATAAATTAGACGATTTTACTTTTGCCGCTATAAGGCGAAAAGTACATTATTTTTTTTATGCAAATGAGTCACCCACCATTATAAAGGTAACTTAAACTTTATTCCTTCTACTGCATTATATTCTGTGTCCACCATAATGTTCTTTGTAAAACCAAAGTATTAGATTGCGTAGACTTCCTTACTCAAAACATATTTTATTACTTTACAGATTCTTAAGGTTGTCAATGAAGACCCAGACTTACCCAATTTTTCTTGGAGTACATTAAGAAATGTTATGAAACATTTAAATTTCAAATATGTCACAAAATCAAGACACAGCATTTTAATTGACAGACAGGACATTATTCTATGGCGCCAGCGATACCTTCGAAAAATTAAAGAGTATCGAAGGGAAGGAAGGTATATTTATTACCAAGATGAAACCTGGATCAACGAAGGTAATTACAATTTTCTGTTTTCTTTACATTAAATTGTACTTTCAAATAATTAATTGATATTTTTCACTATCTTGAAGGTCATGCACCGAAGAAGGCATGGATTGACCAGACAGTGTTATCGTCCCGCCAGGCCTTCCTAGATGGCTTGACCACTGGCTTAAAACAGCCTTCAGGAAAGGGCAAACGATTAATTATCGGCCATATAGGCGGGGAAGAAGGATTCGTAGAAGACAGCTTATTAATATTTGAAGCCAAAAAAAAAAGAAGATTATCATCAAGAGATGAATGCCGATTCCTTTGAGAAGTGGTTTTGGGGTGTCTTGCCAAAACTAAAACCAAATTCCGTAGTAGTGATGGATAATGCCCCCTACCACTCCAGGAAACTAGAATCGCTGCCTAAAATGTCTTGGACTAAACCTAGAATACTAGAGTGGCTAACGAGCAAAAATATTTCATTCGAAGCAACAATGGTTAAAGCTACTCTTATAGACATTGTACGGCAGCACAAGCAAGAACATTGCGATAAGTATGTTGTGGACGAGATGGCAGCGCAGCATGGGATAATTGTTTTACGTCTGCCCCCATACCACTGTGAGCTCAATCCCATTGAGTTGGTATGGGCGCAGGCTAAAGGATATGTTGCAAGAAATAACAAAACCTTCAAAATGACAGAAGTAAAAAAAACTTTTTGAAGAAGGACTTCAACATATCACACCTGAAAAATGGAATAGCTGCGTGTCTCATATAATTAAAAAAAGAAGACAAAATGTATGGTCTCGACCACATGATTGACAATGTTACTGACAGATTTTTAATTAATGTCACCGAAAGCGATAGTGATGATTTTTTATCTGATAATGAATAAAAACAAATTATGTAATAAGCGATTTTTTTTTATTCTGATTACCTACCTATAATTGTTATATTTTATACATCTATAGTTTCAACTACATGATGTATTGAAAATAGGACAGTCTTACAAGTTTCCTCGCAATATTTTCCTTAATGTTTAAAACACTCGGTATTCAGTATAGGTAGATATTATAGGAACATAGTCGTCGAAAACTCGTTGGTATGTAAAAAGCACGACTAAAATTCGAACCCCGTACCCGATATCGGCAGTTCAGCACACTAACTATTCACTAGACAATCGAGGCAATTTCATTAATTCAGGAGTTTTTCAATCATTCACTTTGTCACAACACTATTTTTATTTCATCAAAAACTGACAACACAGTAAACGTCAGTTGACTTCGTCTAATTAAAAATACGACTATACGGAGTATTAAAAACATGAGGAAGCTCAAATTAGATGAGGCACGTACACTACAAACGCAATTCACCATTATTTGCAGGCTTATACTGTCACAAGCTGACGCCGCTACTTAATCTGAGTAAATATGATTGATATACAAAAATGAACATAAATTATTTAGTTGTAGTGGCAATGGGCCGGCCATATAGCTCGAAGAACCGAGAACCTATGGGGAAGAAAAGTTCTGGAGTGGTAGCCTCGTACCGGCAGGCGAAGTGTAGGGCGTACCCCGTAGTGACGACCTGGTAAGACATGCAGAAAGTCGATGTATGCAGGTGGCTCAGGACCGTGCATTGTAGCATTCCTTGAGGCAAGCCTATGTTCAGTAGTAGACTTTTGAAGGGCTGTAATGATTTTATGAAATCGTTCTTGTTATATCATATAGTTATTCGTGTCAGAATTGTGTCCATAACAAAGATAAACAACAACAAGTTCGTACAGAATTTGTTTATCAATCTTTAAATATTTTTGGATAAAAGGCATAATACTCTCTATTTGTACAAATTTATGATGCGTTTTCAAACCAATCTTCATATTACTGCGACTTCGCTCGTTGAGTTCATAAATTTGCTCGTTAATCGTGGAAATTTTCTTGATCATTTATATTTTATAGTTACTTTATGATTAGAGAGCCGTGGTGGCTCAGATGGTTAACGCTCGCTGTAAATATAACAGAACGCGAGTAACCCGGATTCGATTCCCGCCGGCACCAATGAAATTGTTAATTGCAATTCTAAGTGCTGAAATACCACGTGCTCGGCGGTGAAGAAAAACATCGTGAGGAAACCTGCATGTCTGAAGAATAAAATTAAAATAAACATGTGAAGTTCGCCAATACGCATTGGGGCAGCGCGGCGGATACTTCCTTGCCCTAAAACCCTCTCGTAAATGAGGGCAGGCCTGTGCCCAGCATTGGGACATATTATATAGGCTGTAAATTTACTTTAATTTATGATTCGTATTAAATTTGATGGCTAATAACATAAAGCATTTCTAAATTATCTCTTAATAGCTAATCAAGCAAAATTATTAAAAGGTTGCATAACTGTCGGTACAAATTTGTTCCTTACTAAAGTATGAGTTTGGTGTTACTAGTTCTAGTACAAATTATGCACATTACCACATCCTCCTGTTCCTAATATTTCGGCTATTATTGGCATCAACATTACCATGTGCCCTTCAGGCTCTAGGTGACTTTATGGATAGGTTCAACATAGCCTTCTTCATTTGAAATTTACTACAGGTGTAAATGGATAACTGTAACCACTTATAATCAAATGGACTGTAAGTTCGTTCTATACTTCAATTTTTTATAAAAATACGATATCAATAACACTACATTATTATTTGAAATTTTACAATATTTATTTGAATTGCACTATAACATTAAACGCATTGAAATAATTTTCAAAAGATCAATCAAACTAAAGATATATTTGAGTAATATTTACTTTTATGTAAAATATTAATTATATATCTTAAAATGAATAATGAAGTTTTTTATGAATTCGTGACCGTTGATTTCAAGGAGCGGTATTTTTGCGACTCCCTGGGTGATAGAAGCTCATGCTTCGTCACTGAGGAGTCATGGATTATACAAAAGAAATTACCTTGTTATTAGTGACCCTGAACTGTCGCCGCGTGTAATAGGGACACGATTCGCTCTCCTCGTATTGGACTGAGATATGCTCATATTGGGCTGTGCCATCGTCCCAGTAGCGTGGGCATTTGCCTTCTCCAAGCTGCATAGAAATATTATTCCAATATATAATACAATAATATAATATACCAATATGTCAGAGATAGTAGGCTAAAAATAGAAAAGTTGCTGTTATTTTACTGGTTGATATAGTAACGTCCGTATACGTATACGATGTATATACTTCACATATGATTACGACCGGCACATATTACCTATGGTAATGGTCGAATTCAAATTTTTCTACGTTCATAGATTTCCAAATCCCACTACCGCATCCATATCCCCGGAGTGTGTTACTTAGTGCAGTCTTGAAAAGGGTATAACCCTATTGCAATTAATTTGATAATCTGACAATGTACTAAATTCAGTATATCAATGATTGTAAATTGTATAATGTTATAACAATAAACAACATACCTCACTGAGCATTACAATAGTGGCAACATTATGCTCTGAAACCATCCTCCAAAAGTCCATTATAGTATTGGGCAGTGGGTCTTGTGTGATGATAAAACCTTCTGAATTGTCATAAGCTGTAAACAAGATATTAAATAATAGTAATGTAAATGATGTTAATTTATTTATATATAATTATAAGTTAGTACAAACAATACGTAAAAATCAACCTCCAAAGTCCGAAAGAAACAAATAGGTACCGCAATGATATCACCAAGAAATACGGATACATCATGCTATATAATTAATGAATATAAAAGCTAGTTATTTAAATTATTATTTACTACCATTTTCCTAAAATTCTGTATTTTAAATATGGCAGCACCGTCGTCGGCATCGGTATCTTGTAACATGTGGCGGTATTGTTGACCGACGGCGGCCCTCGCCGCATGTACTTAGTCGGGTCAAGTATAAGTTCTGTCAAAAACCTTATTATTCAAAATTTTTGAATACTGGCTAGATGAACTTCACAAATATTAAAAATATAACGTTTGCGCTTGCCGAAAATAAAAAATATATTAATTTTCATTCATTTTCAAATATGGAGTGGTCGAAGAAAGAAGATAGAGTAGCACCACTGTAGTTTGTTACGCGGCAAAGGAGATTTTGAATATTCTACAAAAATTGAAAATAACGCTACGATTTGTTTATCGGACTATCAAATGATTCACTGAAGATTCAAGCTTCGAAGATCGTAAGAGACCTCGTACGGTTAGGACACCCGCGATCATCAAAGCAGTGAAGGCGCGAATCCAACGAAATCCTGTTCGTAAACAAAAAATCTTAGCTCTTCAGATGGGCCTAAGCAGAACCACGGTCAAAAGAGTGATCAATGAAGACCTAGGACTACGAGCTTATCGTAAGAACATCGAACATTTTTTGAACGAGCATTTGAAAAATATTAGGCTGGATAGACCGCGCTTTTTGTTGTCGCGAAAAATAACGCGAAATTTTGTTTTACGATGAAATTTTTTTAATATCCAAGAAAGTTATAATAATCAAAATGATAATGTGTAAGCCCACAGCAGTGAAGAAGCCAGCATGCGAGGGTTCAACGAGCACATTATCCTTCGTCACTCATGGTTTGGCTTGGAGTCTCATATTCAGGCTTAACTGAGGTGTTTTTCTGTGAAAAAGGTGTAAAAACCAGTGCCGAGGTGTACCAAAATACCGTCCTAACAAATATAGTAGAACCTCTTTCTCAAACAATGTTCAAAAACAGACATTGAATATTCCAACAGGACTCTGCACCAGCTCATAGGTGACGAAGCACGCAAAACCGGTTGACCGTCCATGGAATTGATTTTATCGGACATGAAGACTGGCCCTCTTCTAGTCCAGATTTAAGCCCACTAGATTATAAGATAAGGCAACATTTGGAGGAGAAAGTCTGCGCTAAATCTCATCAGAATTTGGAATCTCTCCGAGCATCTTTGGCTAAAGCAGCGGCAGAAATAGATATGAGGGTGGTGCGTGCTGCGATTGATGATTGGCCGCGTCGATTAAGGGCATGTATTCAAAATAGGGGAGGTCACTTTAAATAATGTAAATAAAATTGTATTCTAAATTAAATCCATGATTATATTGCGAACACCATTAAACATCACCCGAGCTTTGAAAAAAAAGGGAACCTTTCATTTCATATATAACTTCTATATAATTATCAAAAAGTGTATCATTAATTTTATAAAAGTTTTTGACAGAACTTATGACCTGACCAAGTATGGTCATGTAAATTTCCCCATTTAATTTAATTTTACTCTTTGCGCGATAATTTTTTATTTATTTTCAGAAAAGGATATTACATGGACAGAATTATATCACTTTAACTAAAGAATTATTCACTAATCGGACACGGTGTTTATACATATTGTAAAAATATGTTGCTAAGTGCATAATTATAGGCATGTAACTCGAAAAAAACGAAGTAACTAATTATTATTATCAAATAGAGAAATAAAAATCACAAAAGAGGTAATCACTTTTATTAAATAATATTTAATGTAAATATTTTTTTTATTTACCACTTTTCCTTTTTTCCTATTTTTTAGAAAAAAAATTAACAATGCTATAAACATTACTAATATTCCCCTTAACCACTCGTGATAAGCTTAAATTGCTTGTGGTACGAGTGGTTCACGCCAGTAGTCGGCAGTAATGGCGAATTCGAACCCACGACCTTTTTGAGTTTGTGGTCCGCGCCCTGCCATTAGGCTACTGTTGCTTTAAACTACTTCGAAAAATACGTCTTTCTTAAGAAATACCAGCAAGGAACTTAGCGGGGTTAAAAAATTAATTACTTAAAAGTCGTTACCAACAAAAATCATTGAATTGGGTCCGAAAAAGAACATAATCCTATGTGCTTTTAACGGCTAAGCGTGATTAGCTATGCAACGATCAAGGTCCAGTAGTGGTGTGTTGCGATGTGATGTGTTGTAGGTGGTACCTTCGATTAATGGTGGTTAATATAGCGCATAGCGCCATATTATAGCGCGCTATCTCTCCATAACACATAGCGCGTGCTATGTAAGTAGTCGCCATGGCGCTATTGCGCTATGGCGCTTTGGCGCTATTAAGTATTAATATCTAGCGGCAACTAGTTCTAGCAGCAGCGCTGTTGGGAGTGGACGTGAGCTGATCTATTAGCACTCTGTTCATCGCGCGCGACCTAATTTAGTGTTAGACGTTGTGTAGTTAGTGTATACTGTATAAATTGTGTTTATAAGTGATCGAAGGACACAGTTGTCTGCTACAAAAGAAGCCTAACTAATGTTTTTAAATGTAAATAAAATATAGATACAAAAATGTATATAATAGTGTATGTAAATAGTTGATTTTTATAAATACAATCAATAAACTTTTAAATACACAGTTATTTGATTTATAATTTATATTAAGGTTAAAATAACGTTTACATCAATTATTATAAAAAATAATTCATTTTATCTCGTTTTAAAGATTACATGCTCTAAAAATAATTTTAGGATTATAAAAAATCGTAAGCCTGAAAAGTATGCCAAAGCGTTCATTGGTTTTTCTTTACCGCTTTATTTTATTTTCGTCTAAAACGCGACTTATTACGAAATAATGTTCTTATATAGCACGCGGTCTATCCAATGAACGACATGTATTGTAACGTGCTACGAGATATAGCGTGCTACAAAACTTAACGCGCTCTCCGGCCTCCTACACGCTTTCTTATAAATAGCGCGCTATAACATAGCGTATTTAATAGCGCGCTAGAAATTTATAGTTTATAGTCTGTAGCGTGCTATTGATTTATAGTAGTTTTGAACAACTTTACCTTCGATGAAGGAGGCGTTGATGTAGGTGGAGAAGTCGCGGCCGGGGATGGGCGCCAGGATGACGCGGTTGCGGTCGTAGGGCAGGCAGTCGGCGCTGCGGTTACGCGCGCGAAGCTCCTCACCCGCGCCCGCCGCACACGACTTCACCGCCTCCGCCACCGGCCAATTCATCATCTTCTGCAACACACCAATATGCCCCAACACTCAAACGCTGCTCAAGCTCAGTTTTAAGATGCTATTAAGTCTCCTGCTCTCTATCACTGTAAATGAAAGTGTAGTCTTTAAGCGACTTCTTAAGAGCATTACTTGTCTCAATCGTTCGAAAATCATTAGGATAAATTATGTGATTACGTAGCTTTTGTATTTATTTGTTTATGTTATTGTTTGAGGAATATATTTGAGGATATATATATATATATATATATATATATATATATATATATATATATATATATACACGTGTGTGTGTGTGTATGTTTATGTATATACGTATGTATATGTGTATCATATTTTTTAATGTATTAGTTATTTATATTGCATGTATTGATATTAGATAATGTATATTTATATTGCACCACCTACCTAGTATTCACTTTTTTATTCCTTTACACTGTAATGTCGGGAGGTTCGGGGGGATAAATAATGTGTCTACTGGTCTTGAATGTAGGTTTATTACTCTCTAAATGTCTATTAGGCTATCATATATATAGCTACATGAGCATACACAAACACACACTACACGCCCATCGGCAAAAAAAGAAAAAAAATTGAATTACAAATTTTTTTTTTCAATAAAACAAAACTTGGTGTAAGATTCAAAAAAATTATTAATTATTTAAAAATATTAAAATTCCTATCCTATATCAAACTTATAACATAATAAAATTAAAATAAAATATCGTAAACACTGTAATTTGAAAAAAAAAAATAACTTTCTATCTCTTTATTTAAATTTATTAAACTATCATCAAATTTAAGTCTAATATAAGTTTTTGTTTTAAATTGCTTTTAGGTTGCCTATCATAACTGCATAACATTTAAAATTTTCATATATATGTGTGTGTGTGTGTATGTTTATGTATATACGTATGTATATGTGTATCATATTTTTAATGTATTAGTTATTTATATGTTATTTTATTGCATGTATTGATATTAGATAATGTATATTTATATTGTACCACCTACCTAGTATTCACTTTTTTATTCCTTTACATAATGTAAATCACTTCTTGAATGGATACTCTCTAAACATACATCATATATATAGCTACTGAGCATACACTAAACACAACTACAACACCTTTGGTTGCCTGGAAGAGATCGCTACGTAGCGATAAGGCCGCCAAATTGTACATGTAATCTGCTCTCTATTATATTCTTTGTAAATTTGTTTGTGGTGTACAATAAAGTATATTCACTCATTCATTCATTCATGAAAGTGACTGTGACACCACAAGAACTAACCTCTTAAAATTGAATAGCGTTTGATTATTTGGCGGATATCCTTTCAGTATTGGCGTGAACTTGACCGCCGACGGATTTCTGCTCTTGTTTAATGTAAAAGTAGTATGATCTTGTGTGTTAAATGTCTGTGCATATGAACTATTGGTAAAAACGATAAAACAAGTGCTCTGACGCTTTTTTTATAGGATAGGATGACAAACGAGCACACAGTCCACCTAAAAGTAAAGTAAGTGGTTGCTGCGGCCCATAGACATCTACATCTATCCTCGATTACGAATCAAAATGCAGATGCGTTGTCATCCGTGAGGACTTAGGTGGAATGCCTCGTTTCCAGTAAAAAAGGGTCTCCGGTTGTCTACACTCACCATACAAAACACAGCAGCATTAAGCTACTATTTGACGCTGGTATTCTGTGAGAGCGTAGTACTTCCCTGATCGAGCCGACCCATTCGTGCTACAACTATTCTACTAATATAACTTGCAGCATGGCTCTACCACGTAATAATGCTGATGTGAATATCAAAAAAAGGTGTCACCCCTGAGGACTAAGATGGAATGCCTCGTTTCCAGTAGAAAAGAGTCTCCGGATCTCTACACCCACTACTTTCTTTTAACGACTATATAACCACAGCATACAGCGTAGTCGTAAACAATAGCTATAACTACCAATAATACTTTCTAGTTAGTGTTGGTGTAACTACAACTGGCGAGAAACCCCAACATATTTTTGGTCGTTCGAGCCGGAACTTAACCAGCGATTATCATTCACCATTCTAGGATATTTAAAAAAAACACTTCGGGTAAAGTAGGGTGCACACGATTTGAAAGTCGATATTTTTCGCAAATTTAAAGTTTTTTAAGAAATAATTACAAAATATATATGCCTTAGGTTTTTACGGTTTTATTGAAGTTTTTGTTACGATAGAAAGTCATTTGTTTCATATATGTATACATACAAATGTTTTTACGTATATATTTTCATCATAATAACTTAATATATTTACCTATTTTTTTTTATTTGTTTTTCGAATGATATATTTTTTTACAAGAATCATATTTTTAAAATGATATTATTGCAAGCCATAAATAATTAGAAATATTGAAATTTGTGTAGTGTTATTAATTGCCATATATCATGTCAAGGGGGGATACATCATATAATTTGTAACGTAATATGTGGGTCGGTCACAGAAAAGCGTAGCGTGACGAAGGGGGCGTCTAAAAACATAAAATTTTGAGTGCGTATTTTATGTCGGTCCTTTACGACTATATTTATGTTAATAGCCGTGAAAAAATAAGATAAATGTTACCTCAAATTCATGTTCCATGAGACACTTGTCGGCGCCCTCTGGTGTATTACGAAGTCGGTCTATTGAGCTCTTTAGACGCGAGGCTGGAATCTCAGTGTCCCCATAATGTGCGTACTCAACCAACGCCCGATAAACAAACACATATTGTTTCTGAAAGCAACGTCAACTATTATTAATAGAAACAACTATTAAGAATAAAAGAAAGGTCAAAGCTCTTTTCATGTGGCGTCACTAATGTGAGTGCAATTTAGGAAGACGTAGTGCACAGTCGGTATATTGGCTATGACTAAGCAAAGTAGTTGAACAATTCGTAAAGTGTTGGTACAGTTGCTGGTGCAATGTGGGTATAATGTGAGTGCAATATAAGTGCAATGTAAGTGCAATGTAAGTGCAATGTAAGTGCAATTCAGGTGCAATTTGAATACATGGGTGCAATTTAAGTGCAATGTAAATGCAATCTTAGTGCAATGTAGTTGAAATATAAGTGCAATTTAGGTGCACCGTCGGTTTTATGTCTATGACTAAGCAAAGTGAACAGGAAGTACTTGCGATATTAGTACAGTACGGGTACAATGTGAGTGCAATGTAAGTACATAGTCGGTATGCAAAGTTCATGTCTGAGACTGAGCGAAGTGATAGTCGGTAGATGCACAGTCGGTATTGCCTGTGTAGTTCATGCAGTGTCAATTTGTCAATGTGTTTACAATGCGTTTTTGATTTACTGGAGATTCGCATGCAGGACATTGTCAATGCCAGGGCGGAATAGTTGGATAGACCGTATAGATGTAATATTGTTACGATTTCATTCATACAGTCAATGAATCTTTTACGACTTACCAGTGACTGTACGAGGAAATTTCGTTGGCGGCGTAGCTCGGCGACGGTGTTAAATACTGCCACTTGCCCAGTGGCACGTAGTTGCTCTAGCAAACAGTCAAGCGCTACCAAAGTCCCCGTTCGTCCGACTCCCGCTGAGCAATGAACAACCACTGGACGTCCCACCATATTCGACCACGCTTCGTTAACTCTCTGCAAAGGTAAGAGTAAATATTCTTTACAAATATTTGTTATTTTGCCTTTTTCTTATGTATAGTATATTTTAGTATTTAATGTTAATAAATATACTACAATTTTGTTTTCAGGTTTTGAGGTATACCTGAGGTATATTGTACAACCAGTGCGTGTTGCCCGTGATGACATATGGAACTGAGAGGTGGTCCTTCACTGGTGGCCGTATGAGGACGCTCAAAGCTGCTCAGCGAGCTATGGAGAGGGCTATGCTTGGGGTTTCTCTGCGTGATAAACTTAGAAATGAGGATATCCGCAGTAGAACCAGAGTAACCGGCATAGCGCAACGGATTAGTAAGCTGAAGTGGCAATGGGCCGGCCATATAGCTCGAAGAACCGACAACCGTTGGGGAAAAAAGGTTCTCTAGTGGCAGCCTCGTACCGGTAGGCATAGTGTAGGGCGACCCCCCACTAGATGGAGTGACGACCTGGTAAGACATACAGGAAGTCGGTGGAAGCAGGTGGCTCAGGACCGTGCTTATACCTTGGGGGAGGCCTATTTTCAGCAGTGGACTTGTGAAGAGCTGTAATGATGATGATGATGATGATGATGATGAAATATACTACAAAAGATGTCGCTTGTGACGTACAAACAATGCAGTGTTAACGTTTATAGGTTCAAAATTCAAGAAAAGGACATGGGAAAGGCTAAATTTACTGTATAAGTAATGATGCGATAGCAACCAAACTGGTCGTGTGTGAAACTAAAAATATGAAAAAGTTACAAGATGAAACACAAACAGTGCCGTCACATTTGGTTTTTAACAGTAATAGTTGTTTGAAATTAAAAGCTTAAGTCGTTAATTGAATTTTATTATTAATAATAAAATATGTTGTAAAATTGTTCTTTCTTTCCCAGTGATTGTAAAGTCAGAGACATTGAGGCGTTAAGTCCGGCCATTATAAATAATTATTTATAATTATTTATTAAAGAAAGAAATCACGTAATTTTAATCTCCGTTTTACGAGACCTTGATAAACTTCAATATTGAGTACGGATGCTCCGGCGCAGCGAAGTCCTTCCACATTAGGAAATGGTACTGACGCACCAGTCTCGACTCGCCTCGCGTCTGAGGCGAATTTGGATGACTGCCGTCCGCCGCTTCCTTACAATCTGTAATAGTGCCTTTTCTTTAGGATAAGGTGACAAACGAACACACAGTCCACCTGATGGTAAGTGGTTGCTGTGACCCATAGACATCTACGACACGAGACACATAAAACGCAGATATGTTGCCACCCTTGTGGACTAAGATGGAATGTCTCGATTGCAGTAAAAAGGGTCTCCGGTTCTCTACACTCACCATACGAAACACAGCAGCATTAAGCTGCTATTTTACGCTGGTATTCTGTGAGAGCGTGGTCCTTTCCCGGTCGAGCCGACCCATTCACATTGCTACAATCATAATAGCTGCAGCGTGGCTTTACCACGTAAATAGTATACTTAAAGTGTGAATGATATTATCCGTCACGCTGCTCCGCGACCGTGTCTGCATTTTGATTTCTAATCGAAGATAGAATTGAACGTCTATGAGCCACAGTATCCACCTGCCATCAGGTGGACTGTGTGCTCGTTTGTTACCCTTGATCAGCGAACATTCATTACCTATTACGTGGTAAATAAGCACATAAAATTATAGTTAACAGTTACACTGATGCCGGCGGAGTTTCTACTCAGCTTCCACCTAAATATATGTCCTTAGAATTATTGTTCTGATCTTTATCATTCATGATGATAGTTGTTTGGAAGCAAGTATCATGCTCATATATATTAAAACTGCGTTTTACTATACAAACCATGGATGCAAGCTAGAACATATTCATCATGATGTCAATCATGCTTTCCGTGTGACACTAAAAGTTAAGCAGGAATGAGTGTGCTGAGAATTCCAAAATTTTTGGCATTCTAATGGCAATCTTCATTGTGTAATAGATGCCAGGTACCCCATTCTAAGCGCTTTCTTCAAGCAGATATAAATATATCAATGAAATTAATATGGTCAATACAATTTATAATGTTAATACCAACGACTACACAGCCCGAATAGACGCCTCATGAAAGGCGAACACTTTCTGTCAACACATCAGACAAATACGTCTTACGAAAACGATCGCGCGACCTACTTTAGTAGCGAACACTTCCCTGACCCATGAACATCTTGCATGTGACTCGTGAATTTTCGACAAAATAAAATACAACAGACGCGCAACATGATTCCCTATACAATAAAATAGTGCGTAAATAGTAGCCAAATGTGTAATTTCAAAAAAATGGCATCACTTTTCATAGATAAGTGAATTTTAATTTCGAATCTCATTAATTAAAATTAAATCAGAGCTCAACCTACATTTGTCACAAGCAACTCGCGTTGATTTATTCGGACATCTTCGGATATTTTCGGACTATTCATCCCTTTCTTTTCAATGCAGTTCATTGTTGCTATACTTTTCTTTAATTACCGGCTCGTGTAACTAGTGCCGTACCAGTTAAACTGTAATATTGGTACAAGTAAATATTATGCATGTTATCGTGAATCTTTTACAGACTTATACTATAAGCGACATAGGTGTAAGCTGAATTTTTTAGTGAATGTACCATATTTGAATTAATTGATTTATTAATTAAATCAAATTATTCAAAACTTCTTAACCTTTCAGCTGCGGAGACTCTAACCGTAATTCTCCGTTGACTGCGGAGCTGTTTAATAAAATGGACGGCTGATTGGGCCCAATCCGTTTAAACGCAAATATCTTGATTTTGGTATATCGAATACTATAATATGTATACATTTCTGAATTCTCTATGAAATTTCCTATAAAAGAGTATATATATTTAATAAAGTTTAAAGTGTTTAGTATAACTAAATATAGAATAAAGTCAAAACTATCATATTTCTCAATGACACAAAGTTTTTTAATAGTTCAATTTTATTTTATTTTAATCTTACGTCTATTGTTTACAATATTTTATGTGCAAAATTATAGGCTACAATACAATTTTTTATCATAAAACGCATAATATTAAGCTTACAAGAACCCACAATCAATATACACCGATGTAGTATGTAGTTCGGACCAAATGCGGCATAATGCGGCGTAATGCTTTAGTCAATAAAAATAGTTTTTTTTTATTTCATTACAATGATTCAGTCTTGAATCTCTCTTTTTCTTTACATGATTCAGTCATCTTTCAATAGGTCTTGCTAAGTTTTAGAAATCCGATAAAGTATTTCATAAGTACTCTTAATGCCGATATCAAAATTTTAGTCGTAATTGCCATATTTATTGAAAAATTAATTACTTTATTTGAGCAAACAAACTTTAACAGCACTTGTACAGAAATAAAGATTCATTCATTCCTTTAAAAACCATAAAACCACTCAAGAGTCACTCAGCGGGAGTGTAGAGTTATAAATAACGTTTTTTGTAAACAATACCCAATGCAGTATCGATGACAGAGGCGCCGCGAGGTGCTCAGCGGTTATGTTACATTTCCAATAACCAATAACATTATTTCTCCAAACGGTAACATATTTCCTTTAACACAAACAATAGCTACGAAATAATAAAAATTAAAATAAATATATCTCTTTCTGAAATAAAAAAAATACTATTTATGTATATTTTTAAAGAACCCACTTCTTATGCATTATACAAAAATATGCCACAATTAAAGTTCGATTCTGCACTTTTTTGTGCATCATGTACTAGTTCATTAAAACATTTTTATGCGTGGTAGAGCCATGCTGCAGTTATATTAGTAGTATAGTTGTAGCACGAATAGGCCGGCTCGACCGGGGAAGGACCACGCTCTCACAGAATACCAGCGTGAAATAATAGCTTAATGCTTCTGTGTTTCGTATGGTGAGTGTAGAGAACCGGAGAGTCTTTTTGCTGGAAACGAGGCGTTCCATCTTAGTCCTCACGGGTGACACGCATTTTTCCATTTTGATTTGTAATCGAGGATAGATGTAGATGTCTATGGGCAGCAGAAACCACCACAGGTGGACTGCGTGCTCGTTTGTCACCCTATCCTATAGAAAAAAAAACATACAAAATAAAGAGGTGTATTCATTTCAACGATGAGAGCCGTGGTGGCTCGGAAGAGCCGTGGTAGCTCAGATGGTTAGCTCTCGCTGTAAATTTCATAGTACGCTAGCAAGCCGGGTTCGATCCCCGCTAGCAATAATGAAATTGTTAATTGCAATTTTAAGTGCTGATCTACCACGTGCTCGGCGGTGAAGAAAGACATTGTGAGGAACCCTACACGTACGTAGTTCGCCAACACGCATTGGGGCAGCGCGACGGAAACTTCTTTGCCTTTGCCCAGCTGTGGGGCGTAAAAAGGCTGTAACTTAACTAACTTAAGTATTCATTTCGACGTTAAATTTCAGAATACGCTAGCACACCGGGTTTGATCCCCGCCGGCATCAATGAAATTATTACAATTTTAAGTACTGATTTACCTTTGCTCGGCGGTGAAGAAAAACATCATGAGGAAGTCTGACTGTCTGAGAAATAAAAAAAAATATTTCCAAGGCATGTGCAGTTCGCCAACACGCATATGGGCAGCGCGGTGGATACTTCTTTGCCGTAAAACTCTTTCAGAAGTGAGGGAAGGCCCAGCAGTGGGACGGAAATCGGCTGTGTAACTTAACTAACTTAACAATTTCGACGATGATAGTCTGAAATAATTAGCTGAACAAATTATAGCTAGGCAACAATAGAAACTAAATGGATGGATGGACATAAGTATAAAATTGAATTAATATATAACATAGGTACTTATTTCTTTAAAAGGCTCCTGGTACTTGTTGGATTTACTGTATCTACAGTACAATTCATTTACGAATGGTACTGTAGGTAGCAGCAATCTTGCTATAGGTTGAAACATAACGCTACGTTACACGATTTGCAAAGTAAATACAGATAAAATGTACATTAAAAAAACCAGTATAAGAAATATGAGGTGACCTTAAAAACCACAACCTGTTCATATTAAATTAAAAAAATAAAAATTTCAAATATTAAATATTAAAAAGTATTAAAATAAAAATATTAAAAAGCATATTATGTAAATACTATCTAACTTTCTGTTTTAATAAATTGTTTAAAAAATTCCGAAGTCTTGTGTTAACATACATGACATATCCAAATGCCACATTCAATTTTTTATAAATCATCGAGTAATCGTGGAGTCAACCAAGCTCCATTTCTCTGCTCGAGGGCGCTAGATTCTTTACCATTCTAACCATTCAACCGAATTTGCACTTGACTTGATGGCAAACTTTAGTTCCTTTTTTCGCCACCCGCAAAACAGAGAACTAGAATTCACTTCTAATGACGTCTCAAAAATGGACACTATTGCACCTATTGCGTATATACATTAAAATTTTGAAAATATTGCACTTTATCCACATTTTGATGTACTAAAACTGTGAACGATGAACAATTATACATATTTTAACACAAAACTGACAGTCAACACTAAAATTTTACGTACATTTCAAGTCAACTTTCCTCAACCAGCATGTTAGTTTTAAGATAGCAGTTTGCTTCATACATATTTAAAAACGATTTTACACGTACTTAATAAGATAAAACACAAAATGAGATTACAAATAAGAAGATTAACTTACCCAGGCATTGTTTTAACACAATTCACCACACAATAAATATAAATTAATACAAAATAATTACAAACAACTTCGTTGTTAGCGCGCGTCAATCACACTGACACAAGGAACGGACGACATTTAAGAATGATTTAAATAAAATATACTACTAAAGTGTATAAGCTGTGGGGTTTTTATGCTAGCCTTTTTTATCCTGTACACATTGACATATGGTAGAATGAGTTAGAAATAGCGCATAATGCTTTGTTTCTTCATTAAAAGAGCGGGTAAAAAATGTCTAACACTTGGACGCCCGCAGTCAACGGAGATATTTTCGTGTCCAAGTCTTGGACATCCGCAGTTGAGGTTAAAAATAATACATAATAAAATTAATATAATTTTTAATAGACGGCACTCCGCTCTCTTTACTGCTAAGACGCCATGTCAAGACGAGTAGGAAACGGAAGTGAACTTGACCGTTTAAATAACTATTGCTATTTTATTTTTAATAGTATTCTATTATTATTTCAATATTAATAAAAAATATTCTTTAAAACAAAAAATTATGGGTATTTTACTAAATGCTTAAATAAGACTTCTTTTGTTTTTTTTATTTTGTACTAATTTATAGTAGAATATAATTGTTTTTAAATTTAAAGTTCCCAACACTATTTGCTTATTAGCAAGTGTCGCAACCTTGATTTTAACCAATTAGCGTGCATTTCAACCCGCCTTCCCCGTACCGTTTACCTCAGACTTTTGACAGACAGGTTTGGATGCAGAAATACACACACTTAGGCGTCTATTTGGACTGTGTAGTGGTTGATGGCTACAAATAAATGACAACTAGATGCATATCGTTAGCACCAGTGGCAGATAACTATTTCGAAATTTGATTGTTTTCTATTTAAGAACAGGTATTTTACACTCAATCCACTTTCATCACTAAATCTAAAGATGGGATAATAATGGGCCATGATTTAGAAAGTTAAATTGGAACTAAAAACTTTAAATGTATGTACCTCCATTTCTCTTAGCGATGCCATTGTTTTCAATAATAGGTTGACCGTCGGCGTTGAGTGGTTGTTTCGTAATCCTCAACTCCCTCACAATATAATCCGAATACCTGACAACAAATTAGTATGATAAATCGTAAAATATTAACAATACACTTGACACATATATACAAAAGATTTAAATATATATACTATAGAGCGGGCATTGGAAACATTTGCATACAAAAACTCGCGCGAGTGACGCCCTCTAGCTAAACAAAGCAAAACTACGTAGAATATTTACTAGGAAAAACATTTCAGCTATTCCCCAGTAGGTGACGCTAATAAATATAAGGTATAATAATACAAGGCACTAAGCAATCTAATTTAATATAATGTGTATTACTTGTGAGATACATGGTGTTTTCATGCGATGGCCAAGTCAATCTATATATTTTAAACATAAGAGATATTTAACATTGTAGACATGTGTCAATCATTTATTTCTAGCGACAGAATCATTCTAGTACATTTCGTCACGCGTACTGGTACTTTCGGATCGATCATTCAAATGGATCATTTCATGTTCCAGTACTCTGAGTCTGTGAGATTCATTGGGAACCGAAAATTTTCTATTTGGGATTTGTAATAGCGCCGCGCCATCTACTACATGTTATATAGGTAATAGACATTTTATCGAACCAAAACTTATTAACTTTCAAGATGGTAAGTACAATCGACGCTAGATGGCATAAACAGAAAACCTCATATATATATATTTAAACTCCAGTAATTAATTAAATTTATTATACATACATAAACACTCACGCCTGTCACCCAGAGGGGTAGGCAAAGACTACAGACTTCCATTTGGCACGATCCTGACACACCTCTCTCGCCTCCTTCACATCATCCATACACCTACGCATACATGCTCGTCGGTTAAGGGTACTCCTAATTTGGCCCGTTTTCAATAAATCGCCAATTTGGTCGATAAATTTTCGCCTAGGACGTCCCTTTCCGACTCTGCCATTCACTTCTGCTACATAAATTTTCTTTGTCACTCTTTCCTCATTCATTCTTTCCACATGACCAAACCACCGAAGCATTCCTTTCTTAATCCTGGTCACAACATCATCATACAATTTCTTACCCTGTCGTTCAGATTCAGCCCTAACATACTCCTTAACGACCGCATTTCTACTGCGTTGATTCTTCTCTCGTGCTTCTTCTGCCACACCCAACTTTCACTACCATACGTTAAAGTAGGGACCAACACACAGCATTGTGAATTGCCATACGTGCCTTTTTTGACACATTTTGACTCTTCACAATAGAGTGCAGGGTCCCATTTACTCTATTTCCCGCATTCACTCGTCGTTCTATATCCTTATCATATCTCCCATCCCTGCTAAATACGCAGCCCAAATATACAAACTCATCTACTTGCTCGATCAACTCCCCTTCTATTCTTATTTCACAAATCGTTTTACTTTCTTCTCTTTCAAAAACCATAACCTTCGTCTTACTTGCGTTCACTTTCATACCTTTTTCTTTCAATGATCTGTTCATTAATGTAACCGTCATTTGCAACTCGGCCGCCGACGCGGCAAGGATAACTTGACTATTATATATTTTAAATATTTAATAAATTTGTTTATTCTTAAATTTCATTCCTACTTTACATGTCTAAATATAGGGATTGTAACATTTATTTGCTACGAAATTAAACTTTTACCTATCTTATACTTATATAAGGTGTTTGAAAATTATCATTAAATAAATATTTTATCATGAAATCTTTTGAAGTGTTATTTTTAGTAAACTCAACGAAATGATATTTTTAACTCATAGATTTAACAAATAACTATAATAAAGTGTAAAATAATTTTTAATTTTGGTAACAATATTATAATAAAATACCTAATAATAAATACTCCTCATAATCTGCAGTTTCTGTATATATTACTCTACTCTATCATTATCTATCTATCAGTCTGCATTGTTATTTCGATTGGTCTGTTTATTCATATCATTTGGCATTCGGTCGGTTTTCGGCTCATTCACAATCCAAACAAATCGCGGGTTAAAAAGGTACCGTCAATTGTTTGTGATTGGTTGTACTGGTACATTTAAAAACAAATGAATGACCCATCAATACTTTTAAGTGTACCAGCTCAAACGAACGAATCATGCATGATTGACACATGTCTATAACATTGATATGGTCACTATAAAATGTTGTTAGGTTAGCTAATTACGTAATAACTTAAAACAGAAGGACCCTTAAGTAGCGACTGAATAAATTAACCGACTTGGTATTACATTGATCTCACAATTTTTTACAGTAGAAGAAGTGAGTTGCGAGACTTGGTTTTTTTTACAAGTTATGTTATTAATGGCATTATATATTTAAGTAGACAATATAGTTGTAAAAATGTCTAGCAAACCAAAAAATAGACTTTTTATAAATTTTGTTATTTATAATTTGAATTATTATATAATGTAGATTTAATAAAACTAAATTTACGGATTTTATCGCGTATAAATAAACTTAGTTTGATTCAATGTGTAGTGTTCGCGTAAATTTAAGAAATCATTATGTAGATTTAAATTAAACAACGAGAATAATAATAATGTTTCTGAATATTGCTTGCCCAACAACCGTGTGCCCGGTGTATGGTAACAGACTTGCCTTTACATAGGGACTTAAATATATCAGGCAAAATGTGGGTGTTAATATCTCTGCCTACCCCTTAGGGGACACAGGACTGATGATATGTAATGTTTATGGAAATGAGGATATTTTTTGAGGAAATCATTGTTTATTCAGTCAGACGCCGATTCTTCTGAGTCTGTAGAGTCAGAATCAGACTGCACTAATTATAAATGGAGGCGACTTAAAATTACAGGGGAGGTTAGCCTTATGTTTAAGATCTGAACACACTTGCTCGTAATGGAACTGATTTACATAAACATAACTTCCCTAAATATGAAATTCCTAGTAAATTTACCCATGGGACGATTAACAATTTTATACAATGGTAAACTACTTAGATACACACCGTTTCTCAGACACATGGTGGACTGTTATATTGCCAAACGCTCTCGAGCCTCTACCCTCGTCCGGCCAATACTTAGAGCACTTGACCTTGGAATACTCCTCAAGATTGGTCAGCATCACGATCAACTCCAACCCGTGTTCCCATATCATGCGCCAAAAATCGTTAACTGTAGTATCCGTGGGTCCTTGAGCACAGATAAACTGTTTGCGTTCCTATAAAGATACAAAAATTAAATAAGTCGATCAGTTAGAATTAATAAAAACACATTTTACAAAAATGTACAAAAGCGAAACCAAAGCAAAAAAAGTACGATTTGTAAAATTATTGATAGTCTCAATCTATCCTACCAATAATAATTATTTTCTACAATTAATAATTCTTGGCTCATATTACATATTTTAATAACTCATACTATACGACTCATATCATTGAGTTACTAAGGAACACTACATGTACACAGGTACATGAGATTAACTATTTATAGTCTATGAAAATATTGTACAATGTATATGTAACCATTGAAGTAATATGTATTATGTGTTATGGTCTGCTTTTTACCAAACTACTACAATTTTGACTGCGTTTTTATTGGTCCACGTAATCAACATTTCACACAAACGCTGTAGTTACATGCACACTCAGTTGACTTAGCGACGCACGTGTTTTAATGGGTGAACCAGGCGATATTGTTTATGCCATAATGTTATATGTTTGTGTTATAAAATTGATGAAGTTCGAAATCTTTTGGTACAAGGAGTAGCTAAAGTTGATAGTCAAAAATGGTCGTCATGTGTCAATCATGTGATAACCAAAACCGAAACAAAAATGTACGAAGTCGACGATAATGTAGAATATATGTTAGAACAGTTTATTATTCACGTTTCTGCAGAAAGTTCATCAGAAGGAAGTGATGACGATAGTTTTTAAAGATTGCAATAATTATATAATAATTATTTTATTTATAAGTTCTTGTGCATAATATATTTATACTATATCCAATATTATTTTATTGTTATTTATTTATGAAATTATTTATATATAAAAATAATTTAATTTTCTTTACAGTAAATTTTAGAAGGTTTGAATATTAACGGACCTTTACCATTTCAATACAAGAACAAAGTCCCATCTCACTCTGTCAATATCAAAAATGGAAAATTATAAGTTCTTGTGCATAATATATTTATACTATATCCAATATTGTTTAATTGTTATTTATTTATGAAATTATTTTTATATAAAAATAATTAATTTTCTCTACAGTAAATTTTAGAAGGTTTGAATATTAACGGACCTTTACCATTTCAAGACAAGAACAAAGGCGCTGGCCCTACCCCTAACAATGACCCATCTCACTCTGTCAATATCGAAAATGGAAAATTATAAGTTCTTGTGCATAATATATTTATACTATATCCAATATTGTTTAATTGTTATTTATTTATGAAATTATTTTTATATAAAAATAATTTAATTTTCTTTACAGTAAATTTTAGAAGGTTTGAATATTAACGGACCTTTACAATATCAAAACAAGAACAAAAGCGTTAGCCCTACCCCTAACAATGACCCATCTCACTCTGTCAATATCGAAAATGGAAAATTATAAGTTCTTGTGCATAATATATTTATACTATATCCAATATTGTTTAATTGTTATTTATTTATGAAATTATTTTTATATAAAAATAATTAATTTTCTCTACAGTAAATTTTAGAAGGTTTGAATATTAACGGACCTTTACCATTTCAAAACAAGAACAAAAGCGTTAGCCCTACCCCTAACAATGACCCATCTCACTCTGTCAATATCGGAAATGGAAAATTATAAGTTCTTGTGCATAATATATTTATACTATATCCAATATTGTTTAATTGTTATTTATTTATGAAATTATTTTTATATAAAAATAATTAATTTTCTCTACAGTAAATTTTAGAAGGTTTGAATATTAACGGACCTTTACCATTTCAAGACAAGAACAAAGGCGCTGGCCCTACCCCTAACAATGACCCATCGCACTCTGTCAATATCGGAAATGTGTGAAACATACTTTTGTTAAAAAAAAACAGACTATAGTAGCCACGCCTAGACCAGGTTGTTTTCAACACGCATTAGAGACCACTGGCTAAAACTTACTTCGTCTTTGCTATTATATGACTTTCTGCCGTGCTCCACGCGCCCCGCACTTTCGAAAAGATTTTGTTCACGGTGTCTGTTCTAGAATGTAGTGCATATTACTTCTTACTTAGTAAAAATGTATTGCTTTGATTTATTTTTTATACATTTAGGGAACTACACTGCTGTCAAATACTAAAAAAATAAATGCATATTTAATCTAACTCGGTAGTTATTTCTGTTAGGTATAATTTAGTGAGTAACCCAGAAACTCTGTATTTATAGCATAGGAAAGTAAAAAAGAAGAACAAAGAGTACAGTCAGCAAAAAAAGTATAGAATAATGATTAAAGACAGAGAAAGCCTTTCTCGATGCTCACACTGCACATGCTTTTTTTTAAGTCATTAAAGAAACAAAAAGCCAACAGTTTACCAGACGGAAGTATAACAGTAATTTAGGTAAATGCTTTAATAAAAGTTACAGCCTATATTACAGGTCCCACTGCTGGGCACAGGCCTCCCTCATTTCTGAGAGGGTTTTAGGGCAAGGAAGTGTCCGCCGCGCTGCCCCAATTGGCAGTTGGCGAACTTCACATGTCTTCGAAATATTTTTTTTCTTATTCCTCAAACATGTAGGTTTCCTCACGATGTTTTCCTTCACCGCCGAGCACGTGGTAAATCAGCACTTAAAATTGCAATTAATAATTTCATTGATGCCGGCGGGGTCGAACCCGGGTTACTCGCGTTCTGTTATATTTACAGCGAGCGTTAACCATCTGAGCTACCACGGCTTTGCTTTAATGATAATCAGTAAATTAAAACAACTTTAAAACTACCTTTTACAGACACTTGTTGCAAATGAACATATTTTAGCAAAAAATAAAAATTTATTAGTGTCTCTTCTATCTCGTTAAAATGTATAACTTATTTCTAATTTACAATAAATATCTAAGTATTTTTTCGTACGTGAGGAAATCCGGCCAAAACCCCGGTACGGGGTATTCATCTTTTCACCGTTTTTCGCGCGGAGCTAACTAAACGCTATTCTCAAAGATCCTTTCGTTAAAAGATTGGAGCTAAAGTTCTTCACCCCGTTTATCATATATAACTATGGAAAACCCCGCGTCCGCCGCCTAGACCTCATCTATGAAGGTGGAGGAACGAGCTGAGCCTCATATGCTGAAATTGCGGATAGTGAAATAGTGGTAAGTGATCCAACCATAGTTTTAATCAAGGCTTGGAGTAAGAGAGTATGTATGCTGCGGCGTGTCCTCGTGGTTACCACCGTGAGGGCACTCGGTTATCGGCTTTGTCCCGGTTATTCAGCTCAGGTACTCATCAAGGAATCCATGGCCAGAAACACCTGCGCAGCCGGAAAATTAATAGCTCGTGACGATATCCAGTCATTGATAGAATCAGGCGTTACATTGCGGAAATCCATTATAATAAAGATATTGATTAATTTGCAACCTTCCGCTAACTAAATACAATGATATGCCTTACCTGGATTGAAGAGCACCTCCCGCCCTCCCTCAATTGCCTGCACTAACTCCGTCACTACTACTCCCAACACTACTACTCCCAACACCACTACTCCGGCACCACTACTTCCAACACCACTATTCCAGGAAAGACACACCATCGACGACAATACGACACGTGTTTCGCCTCTAGACGAGGCATCCTCAGGTGATGTAGACTCTACGGCGGCTGACCGGCGGTCGTATTATCGTCGATGGTGTGTCTTTCCTGGAATATTGGTGTTGGAAGTAGTGGTGCCGGGAGTAGTGGTGTTGAAATTAGTGCACGTAATTGAGAGAGGGCGGGAGGTGCTCTTCAATCCAGTCCACACACAATCCACATCATTGTATTTAATTAGCGGAAGGTTGCAAATTAATCAATATCTTTATGATATCCAGTCAGACAGAACTGGAAGACCAGCCTCGACAGTTCTGCTATTTCTTCTCGGATGCAGTTTTTAAGCATAAACTGTCGAGCGAGGAATCTCTGCATTTTCCTTTCCCGGGGCTTTAAACTCGATTTACAATAAATGATGTGTTTCAGTCACGGAGCGCGGGGCCATTCTTTGAGCAAGGCGACCCAGGCAATTTACATTTTTTTAAATTTTGATACCATAAGAAGAGCGTTCCTAATTAAATTTCTTATGAAATCATCTCGGAAAGGTATTTCTTTATAATCTATACATACTGATAAAATTTGAGCGTATTCTATAATATCGAAATAACAGCCTTTATCGAACTCAAAGAGTTATTTGTATTCCATTACGATATAAATAGCCATTTGTAAAATTCAGATCCGGGCTAATCCTCGAAATGACTGAACTTATTGCGATGAAACCTAACCAGCAGATAGAGCAATACTAATAGTGATTCCATTTAGTGCCCAAACTTCGATTTTTTTTTTGTGAAAACTTTAAAAAATCTAAATGACGCCACACTTTTAGATCCAACATAGGCGAAGCCGGGGCGGGTTATTTGTTTATAAAATCAGGGTAGGTTGTTTTATTTTAGTCGATGCCGATACGAAAGCTTAAGTATCTAAATCTTGTGCTAAGGGCACAGATCCCGATATCAGTGATCGAATTATGCTTTCTCACGTAAACACAACTAAAAGCTCCGTTTATTAAGCGAAGCAGTTACAGCTAAATACCCATGCAGTACCTGATTAGGCTCCAAGGGATCCTTTGTAAGCACGATAGAGAGACAAAACAAGTTAGACAGTTGCACATAGCACATCAATTAACACGCAAGAGTAACTTATTCAACTTATATATTACAAAAGCAGAATGTAGGTATGTGACAAATAATCGACGCTACAGAGTATACAACATTTAATGTAATACGAAGCATTAGACAGAGAAGTTGGGTAAGAAACATAAAAGAGAAAATGAAAGTAACAATTTTTTTAATTCCAAACCTAATTAATATATTCCTCGCTTTAAAGTTTATCTAGACACATCCTTTTCATGGGAGTGGTCCATTTCTAGAAATGGAAATAGTGCATAGGCTGATTGAAAAATTGACCTCTAAAAACATTTCACGCTATAGCAATTAAAAATCAATCATAGCTCACCTTATATCCCATTACGTAGTTGGCGTTGATGTAATCAGATCCGGATATCCCATCGACCTGCGACAGCTTGACACGGGTCTGGTCGTACGCCTTGATGTCCGGGTATCGATTCTTTGGTTGATTCTCGCGCGCCTCCGAAGCGTGCGTGGTACGATCCGGGAAACACTCGGGCAGCATCTGCAACAACTTGATTGTTTGGTTTCCCATTTAAAAAAGATCAACATTTACACACACTACAACTAGCATTAGTTATGTTTATATTTAAGGGATTAATTAAAAAGCTATAACTGAACGTCACATTACTTAGTATTACTGATTACATTTATTATAAAATAGGCATGCATATATTAACAATTTATTTAAAAATGAGTTAAAATATTGTTAAAATTGTATGAGTAAATTGATAAAAATTCTAATCTAAAGACAAATATATATAGAAGTTAAACTATTTAAGAACACCAATTAATAACCGAGTCATTCGGCTAAAATTATCTTTATCAGATATATGGCTTTTCGCCATCAACAGATCCTATTGGTGACTGTTAGTGACCAATATAGATGAAAAATTTTCGCTATGCGTTTAACCGTGTAGTGGCTGCGTAAGAATATCCACTACCCCAATCCATTAATTTTAATTAAAAAAAACTGCGTATTCCAACCCAACGACAAGCATAGCAAGTAGGTCAAATATCCCTACTATGAGGTAACCTATGGAGGAGGCCTATGTTTAGCAGTGGACTTTGATAGGTCGTTATGGATGGATGTGTCTATCTACACATACATAGCCTTGTAATAAATGTTTCTCCTTTTCAATCATTTGATGTATTTTTTGTTTTTACGATCTTCTTAACCTTTAATCCCCACAAATTCCCATGCAGTTGCATGCGCCTGGCAAATCCCGAGCGGTCGCATGCGACCGCACTCACCCACAGCACTTAAAACCATTAAACTTATATTTAGAGACTACTTTTCTATGAAGAAGTTTGGCATAAAATTTATGCAAAATTCTCTATCCTGTGGTCTAAACAAAAGTCAGGTTTTACTTCATTACAAAAAGATTTTATTGTATTTTGATTTAAAAAAAAACATACCAAGCGGATGTGAAATCACAATTATTTCAATATATACTCTACTGGAAATTATTTACGTAAAAAGATGAATTATATTCACACAAAAACTTTTTATAATAATTTTATAATAAAACACTATACTAAAAAACTAGAAAAATCCAAAAATCAACACAATAACATTCACACGAAAATGGCGTACGAAATGAACATAGATTATAAATAAATATCCATAGACTACCTAACATTTTATTCCACTAGAGGATAGAAAATTTCATATTGATTCTATAATTCCAAACTTCTTCATAGAACAGTAGTCTCTAAACATAAGTATTTATGGTTCAAAGTAATGTGGGTAGGTGCGGTCAAATTTGACCTCTTTAATTTTGACGGAATATCGAAGCAGTCAAATTTGGACGCTTGGCGTTAGAGAGGTTAAAATACAGGGTCCGAGGTGGACGTGGATTTAGGACTAATTAAACGCAAGTTACCATTACAGAATTAGAATTTTATAAAATACTAGCGATCCTCCCCAACTTCGCACGGGTGATTTCTGAATCTCGACAATACCGCCACCTACAGAGTCCAATTGTGAATCTATACCATTCTCGAATCAATCACACCACACAAAATGTCATCAAAACCATATCTACATATATAAAGATATATTAGTATAAAATAATAGCTTAAAATCTCAGTCAAGTTGTCAGTCATTTTTAGATCCAACATAGGCCTGCATACCTGCGTTGTCTTTTAAGTTCTGTCTTATACATATTTACCGGAAAATTTTGAATTTAGAACTTTCCAATATTCAAATTTGTTTAAAATCAGAATCTCAAAACAATTGAAAGTAAAGGTGTCAATGAAGGAGACGTGTGGTTGGTACTAAAACTTTAATTAGACTGCCTCATTATTCCCCCTTAACACTAAAGTACATTAACGTGGGAGCACTACACTACACCTCTCACCGACAAAAGAATAAAAAAATATGCTATCTATATATTTTTTTATCAATTCTTAAAATAGATCCTTAAGATTATTCTAAAAAAGGTTAATATCATTATGAAAACTATAATCTAAGCATATCTAGCACGCAAAAATGCAAGTCACAGTAGTATAATTGACATAATCAGGCATAATTATGTATAACATAAAATTATGTTTTGATTTTCACGAAAATTTACAATATTATTTAATCGTATCCGTTATTTATTCGTATCCTTTAGCTATTCATTACACATGTATGTCATTTCTTTCACGTACACGGCTCGCGTATTATACATGATCAAGAAAATTACCAATATCATTTAATTCACTTCTTTACATTTCAGCTCATGTAATTCATTACTTAATTGTACCATAACTTTCCCGTACACGGCTCGCGTACATACATGATCAAGATAGTGGACAATATTCCTATACAATTCATAATAAATTATCATTTCCCTCATTAAAATACATTAAAACTTATTCCGCATTTAATCGTGTCCGAACAACCTTAAAAAATTAATCGACTATTAGGTTTTCCAAACTCTCAGCTGATCAGGCTGATTGTATGTGGATATAACCTCAGATATTTTTCTTTATTTTACTCTCGCAACTATACATTATCAATATTTTCATTTATAATTATGTATTCCGTAACTTAACTATACATTTAATCACATCTTTTACTTTATATCATAAAATAATCTCGTATAATATTTAGTTACAGTGTCAGTCAGGGATTGAGGTTCACAATATGGGAACAACAAACTTTAAATCAATTAGTTGTATAAAACATTATATATGTAGTGAGTTTCAAAATCGTATTACACGAAGAAAATACTTTCATAATCTACTCAAATTAGTACTGTTTTCCAAGAAAATAATAAATTATAATAGTTAAAAGCTTATGATTTAAATATTCAAACAATATAAAACCGAAAATAAATTATTACATTTCACATTATAGTCCGTTCGCGTTAAGAAAATAGTGAGTCATCAGTGCAACTACAGGGTAAAGGTGTATTCACAGTGGAGTAAAAATTCTCTTTTTTTTTCAAACATTTAATTAAGTTTAATGGAAACAAATTTTCTTAAAATTACTTAAATCACTAATCAGTATCGCAAGATTCTCCAGTTACATTAATTATGAAAGAATTTTGTTCTGTAAGTTCCATGATGTCATCCAAATTCCACATGGTATTTTCTTCGCGTATCACGTGGTCGCAGCACTTCTTCCAACGATTAGCGTCTATTAATGCTATTGCGTCATCTAATAATTTTTTTATGTCACTCATTTTGAACGTGGAGTTATTGGCACCAACATAATTTTTTATTTGGGCCCAAACCAATTCAATTGGATTAAGTTTGCAATGGTAAGGCGGTAGACGAAGAATTGTAATGCCATTACTTTTGGAAGTCTCATCCATTAAATATTTATTATATTATGGGGCGATTTCGGCAACTTTCATTAATAATTCTTTTTTTAAATAAGTCATGTCCGTTTTGTTCGAAGGCCTGACTTCAACTGGTCACTGTGAACTCAACTTTCTAATTTCTTGCATTTTAATTGGCTGGGGGGCGTGGCCAGGCCGGCGGACAACGATGACTCATTATTTTCTTAACGCGAATGGACTATAAGATAAACAGAACAAAGAAGTCAATGTTAAGCAACGTAATCATTATAATTAATATAGCAACACACAGATCAAAATACAAATTGTAATCCTAACACCGCAAATATTTGGAGACAAGTTTGTTTTAAATTCCAAAGTACGTATAAGGCATCGTTTGTAGGATGACACGGTGTGATTCACGCCTAATTTCAAGATAACTTTTACAATATTTTATAATATGAATGCAAGTAAAATGTACCTTAAAAGGATAGTCTTAAACATTTCCTTAATTTACATAGAAGTTTAGAAATAGTTACATTGTCAATATTTATGTTACTTTTACATACATCACAAAATGAATTAGCTTTTTTTTAAAAAAATACTTTTGCTATAAAAAAAGCTTTTTTTAAAAAATCACTATAACAGCTATAAACTTCACACAACGATAGATTAATTTATTTAAACATTATAAAGAACAATTTTTAATATTTTAGGTAGGTTATTATATAAATTAATGATCTAAAGCCTTTAGAAAAGAAAAAAAAAACAATAATAGCAAATCGGTTATAACTCTTTTCAAAATTGTGTACATTTAAATAAAATTTACTACATAAAAACACACACGAAATGTATCATCAATGATATGTTAACTACAAAATATGAAAAATTAATTAATGATATACAATTGTAAATGTAAATACGTAAAAATGTAATCATCATATTATTTCATTCATGTTTTGCAGGACACAGTAATAAAAATAATATAAAACTATAACTGAATAAAATTGAATATAAAATCAAGTGCTAGATTATTGATTAATTTATAATTATTGCATTGTGCTTATTTTTTCAGTAATATAAATATTAAAAAAAAAAACAATTAAATCGTGAATTATCTGATAAATACTTTCAATTTAATCATATTTTAAATACAGAAAATTTTATGCATAACTTTTATTAAAGCAAAAACAACATTAAAAAATCTCACATTATTAAAGTTTTAATGGAATTAAAAATCACACAGGTGCGAATTTACCTCTCAAATTCTTCTTTATTCTTTTCGGCTCAGTTTTCACATCCTTCTGGGTGATGCCCGCTAGACTAGGACTACTTCTTTCCCTTTTCAATCGTGGAACGAATATCTAGCATGTTATTGATATTTGGTATGTGATTGCGTGTCATAAAATAATTTTGCGTAGCATAAAATAATTTTTTTCTCTTTGTAACTAAGTTACTGTGTTTATGTATTTTATGTGTTTTTTACGTTTGTGTACCAAACAAATATTTTTCTTTCTTTCTTTCTTTCTTTCAATGGGCTTTCCACCTATCACTTGTTTCACAAATTTCCATTTATACCTATATTTTTGGGCTAAGCGTGGTCCGAGTGCCTTGACGTAATGTACGTAATGTCCTCCAGACCGAATTTCAGTCACGACGGCTTATTTATTATTGTCAAATCCAGTATTGCATCAATTCCGTATATATTTTTTTTATCTTCATTATTTAATTAAGTATTTTTTTTCTTCCCACCCGCCCGGCGGTCATCTTGTTGCAGCGCACCACCTGGCAGGGTCGCCATGTAATATATGAAAGGTGTCAATGAAAGAGACGTGTGGTTGGTACTAAAACTTTAATTAAACTGCCTCATTATTCTACCTTAACACTAAAGTATATTAACGTGGGAGCACTACACTACAGGGACAACTATTTAGAAGATCTTGCATGAAGCGCTTGGTGTGAGTAAGCTAATTTGCCATTGGCCCCGGCATTTGCTTTCCGACGATCATAAGGCGACCAACGTCAGATTTTGTAAGAAAACTCTTCAAAGTTTTACCGAAGAGAGTCACATCACGTCTACAATATCATCAGTGATGACGAATCTTGGATCTCTGCCTACGATCCCGATTCTAAACAACAATCTACAATCTGGTCTTCCAAGACGAGCCCAAGCCGACTGAAGTTGTTCGCTCTCGAAGCACTTTAAAGAAAATAGTGGCCACGTTCAATGCAAAAACCGGCCATGTTGCGACAATTGCATTTGAAAATCATAGGTCAATTCAATCACGGTTAATGCATAGTGGTATACTACAGTTTATTTGCCTTCGTAAATATAACCCAAAGCGACGAATCACCCTACACCATGACAACGCAAGCTCATACAACGCTGGTCAAACGATTGACGACTTGAAGCAGGAAAACGTAGAAATTCTTGACCATCCACCATACAGTCCTGACCTAAGCCCTAACAATTTCTTTAGATTTCTCTAAAATTAAGAAAAATCTTAGTGTTCAAAGGTCTAGTCTGATGAAGAAGCAGTTGACGCCTTCAAAACAGTCATATAGAACACCTCCACTTTGGAGTGGAATAAATGTTTTAATAACTAGTTCGAGCGAATGGAAAAGTGTATAAAACTACGTGATGAATACTCTTAAAAACAATAAAAAGTACTATAAGGTTCTAGTTGTAGTTTTATGGTCAAACGACAAAACTTAAAAGGCATGCCACATATACACTGTATAAAAAATTATTAAAAACACAATCATAGTTATAAGAACATGCATTATAAATGTGAATTTCACGTGATTTCTCCTAAACAGGCAACAGAGTTACTGAAACTGAAATAATTAAAGTCACACTAAGTACTAGACTATCTACTAATAATATTGACTTTTTGAAGTAACTTACATAAAAATTAACATATTGATCAGCCATCATCAAATAAGACAGTCATATCGGCTATTTTCTTCTAACAATTGTGATAAGTCACCAACCCTAATTTCACACAACTCCAGACATATACAGTTGTATAGTTCGTATGTCTAACTTCTATACATTTTCAACTATACATCTCAAATTAATGTAATAAAGGTTTCACTATATGACATCCTCTCAATTAAGTCGACATAATGGTATAGGACACCATTATGTTGATTTCGTAATTATTACATTATTTCGGGGGCAAGAATTTTTAATATTATCTGTATAAAAAAGAGCACATTAAAATTAAATTTTATTTACCACGCGCTCGGCGACAAAATAAAAACATCGTGAGGGAATCTGCATGTCTCAAATATTTCGAGTAACTGTGATGTCTACCAACAAGCACTGGAGCAGACTAATTGTTCCATAACACATTCATTTCACAACATTTATTTATTTATTTAATATTAAAACGTATCTATAACGTTACAAGCTCTCGTAAGCTAATGCACTAGTGTAAACAATTCACTATACCATTTTAATTATTGTACTATATATTATTAATAAATCTGCCATTAAGAATTCTTTCTAAGAACATGAGCAGAAACTTGTACCCAATAATAAGACATAAATAGGCTGTTACTTCAACTTAACTTTATACGACTTTTTATATTAGATAATCAGGTAGTTGACTAGTTATGTATATGTAACATACCTCAAACTCTTTCTGGAATCCATAGTCCGAGTCTGCTTGTCTCTCAGCGTAGGCAGCCGCTAGATCCTCCTTTGCTATTGGTGGCATGTCGGGCGGCACCGCCGATATCAACTGCTGCCTACCGCCCAGTGAGCCCACGACGTATCTATATGAAAAAATGCGATTGAGTTTCGTGCTTTGGAAGTGAAGATAATATTTATACCTCATAAATAATATTTAAGAAGGTTAAGCTTAATGATTTCTTATACTTACGCGAACACTACACAATGATTAAAACTACTTTTACGGATTTTATCGCGTTTAATTTTAATTGTGAAATTTAAATGATGCTTGTTAATGAAGCATCAACGTTCCGGGAAGTCTGCAGTTTGTTATCATATCCTAGACGGCCCCAACAATTACATCAGACTTGATAGACCACAAATCCTCGCGAAAGAACACCGATTCCTACCAAGGATGATACATGAGGCTATTGAAATTAAAAAACTTCCTAATTTCAAAAGAGAAGGAGGCTGGGTACTACCACCTGCTTGGGACACTATAATCAATAAAATTAAAAGTAAACCCAAGCATACCACTGCAAGACCTCAAGACATAGTCAGTTCATTTTGCATAGATCGGACCATAAACAATAATTAAAAAAGCTGAAAGTACTCCGGGTTTATCAATGACATCGGTACGTCAGTCACCTCAGTCCTCCGTGACCATGGGTGCTGGAAAGCACCCGAAACGTCGGGAATTAAAAATAAAAATAATTAAAATTAAAATTAAACGCGATAAAATCTGTAAAAGTAGTTTTAATCAAGGTTAAGCTTTTGTACAATATGATACGTAAGCGTCTACTGGTTCCATATGCCACGTAATAACACACTAGCAACGAAATGTCGATGTATACGACAGGATAGATTCTGCCACTCTTGCCTTTCTGCCAGTACAACTGCCGGTTAAAGTCGAAAAAGTTTCACTTTTCACTTTTCGTCCTATTTCGTTTCACTTTTCGTCCTATCTAGGCCAATTTTTTGTACTGCGCTAAAAGTTTCGCATCATTAAAAAAAACTTATTTATTTAGTAATTAATTCCTACACGGCTGTAGTTCTGCCAGTGTTATAAAAATTATCCTTTATAATTTGTTCTAAAACTTACGTTGATGAATCACGTTGCGGAGTTTTCGGAAGATTTCGACGACAGCTTAAGCCAGTAAACAGTTTAAGATGAGAGTATCACAAATTCTTAATCTTTGTACGAACTAAACGTTCCAATGTACGCCTAGTCGGTTAAGCGTACACAGGAACGCTAGTCCGTACCTGCAGCGACGCATATACAATCTTAGCACGCGTGTTCACTCGCGGCGAATGGTCGCTGGTCAGTTTTGGTTGCATAATGAGAAGTGCCGTACTGGTGGCGCACACGACAGCTGTGTTTTGAGACATGGCGGATACTGGCTGGTCGACTTGCGACTTGTCACTACGCGTTCCCGCAATGCATAAAGGTGCTCTATACGCGTATTCAACATATCGCGTGCGGCGGCAATTTGAGCGAGTGTCGCGTCTGCACTACGCACACCACCACCATCACCACATCACCATTACAGCCAGTGCAGCATAGTGTATACCGGAGCGCGACCTGCAGCGGGTTCATCTCGACGTGCGCATGTGCCGGCAGCTTGAGCGAGCGAGCGCCGCGTCTACACCACGCACACCACCACCATCACCACATCACCATTACCGCCAGTGCAACACAGTGCGTACCGGAGTGCGACCCGCAGCGGGTTCATATGGACGTGCGCGTACGACGGCAACTTACGCGAGCGTTGCGACTGCACCACGCACACCACCACCATCACCACATCACCATTAACCGCCAGTGTAGCAGAGTGCGTACCGGAGCGCGACCTGCAGCGGGTTCATCTCGACATGCGCGTGCGGCGGCAGCTTGCGCGAGCGCCGCGACTGCACCACGCACACCACCACCATCACCACATCACCATTAACCGCCAGTGTAGCAGAGTGCGTACCGGAGCGCGACCTGCAGCGGGTTCATCTCGACATGCGCGTGCGGCGGCAGCTTGCGCGAGCGCCGCGTCTGCACCACGCACACCACCACCATCACCAGCACCACCAGCGCTGCCACCGAGCACATAGCCTGGGAACGAGCGTTATATAGTAATACACTTGGTCTCTTAAACTTGTTTATTACTTGCGAATACCCTCACAAACTCACTCGCTTATGATCATATATGGCTGTTGTACAAATTCCGTAGCAGAGTGCAAGCAGCAGCAAGCGACGTGTAGTCGACACATGTCACTACGACATGTCGCGGCGTCATGTCGCTACAGTCATCATTCCGAATCCGACTGCAGACGGCAGCAGCCCGTGTTCAGTCTGTTCCGAGTATTCAATGGGACGTGAAGTCGATGTCTGACGTGTTTGAAATTAACGATCGCGATTTATTTTTGTATTTTTTGTTAGAAGAGGAAGAAAATGATGATGACTTGCTTTTATAATACAATATTTCTGTATAAAGAGAAAAGACGAAAAGACACACGTCCTATGTTGAAATGCAGAGGAACTGTTAAGCTTTTTTAACTGTGCATAATATTTCATTTTTAATTATTTAGGCATGATATTTGCCGTGTAGTGGCGGTTAAGAATATTCGCTAACCAATATCTTCCCGTGGGTGTTGTAAAAGGCGACAGAGGGCAACTAACAGTCAGGAAATGGGCAGCAGCATCTTCCTATTAACAGCAATTGTACAACAAAAAAGACTGCGGTTGCCAACCCGCTCACTAATCGGCGAGGAAAAGGTAAAATCTTTAAACTTTGTTGAGAAAATACGCAAGGTCAACAGCGTCTTTCGGACTTAACAATTATCGCAATTGAAAAACAGTTATTGGTACAATTATAACGTTCACCAACATTTTACGCGAACGTAATCAAATCTTTCCTTAAGAATGAGAGAATATTTGATCGAGGATATAAATAAATTGTATTTTTTTTTAATTTTGTAAATGGTTTGTTTGTACTTTGTTCATGTATTGTATTGGATGTAAATATTTTTTTCTTTCGCTTAAACAAACCCAAACGGCTTTCTTCAAAGCCACCGAAGCTATGCAATTGCTGATATGTAATACAATCTATCTAGTAGTAGTATGCCTTCTGTGTGCTTTGTTAAATACGTTCTCGACAGCACTGAATATGAAACTGAAGAGTGGAGACAGATCAAGATTGATGTATTTTTATAAAACTGCTAAAAAGAACAAAACCATATCTTGGGCTTGCCTTAGTTTGGAGCCCTAGCTTCGCCACTGATCAGCAGTAGAAACAGAGTTACCGACATAGCCCAACAGATTAGTAAGCTAGTGTGGCAATGGGCCGGCCATATAGATCGAAGAACCGACCACCGATGGGAAAAAAAGGTTTTCGAGTGACAGCCCCGTACCGGTAAGCTAATTGTAGGGCGACTCCCCACTAGATGGCGTGACGACCTGGTAAGACATGCAGGAAGTCAAACATGCAGGTTGCCTCAGGACCGTGCTTTGTGGCATTCCTTGGGGGATGCCTATGTTCAGCAGTAAATTGTGAAGGGCTTTAATGATGATGATGATGATAATGATGATATATCAAAGATTGATAAATCTACCGATCGAGCGTTATACTAAACTGAATTCCCTACATCTACCCCACACCATCTCCCGAAACTTTACACTGTTTTAGCCTTCAAATAAAAGCATCTTAATTTTATGGACATGTTTGCTAAGTGGTAGGACTTCTTTTCTTTCTGGGAGGTCGTCTAGGTAGAACCCTTACGTATATGTCTGTATAGATAGCCAATAAAACTGTATAGCATACTTACAGGCTGTGTGGGGCATTTCATCTTAGTCGTCAAAGGTGATTTACGCATCTGCAGCCTTCTGTTTGAAATTGGCTGCAGGTGTCTATGGGTTATAGTAGATACTTAACATTAGGTGGATTAAAAGTTCTTCACTTCAGTTTTTTAGAAAAACTCGTAAACTCAACGGCAAGTGGTAAACGAGCACATATTAATATCAATGGGGATCGACGAATGAGAATCGTAGAGCGACAGTGCGACAAAGTGACAGGACTGGTGGACGGCGGGGTGATAGGGTAGGAGGGATGACATGGAAATGAGCGGGGGTGACATGGCCGGAAGCCGGGATGACAAGACCAGGGGGCGCGGGGTGACATGGTCGAAAAGCGAGGTGACATAGTCGGAAAGCGGGATGACAGGACCATGGGCCGGGCGGGTTGTCATGGAGGGGGGAGCGACGGGATAACAAGACCGGCGGGCGGTGTGGAACAGGGTAGCAGGGTGGTGGGGTGGTGGTCACTGACCAGCAGCGCGAGCTCGAGTGGGGCGGGCGGGGCGGTCGCAGAGGCACTGGCGGCCGGCATCAGCACCTTCACGTACTCGCTGTACACCGCCTCATCCTGCGCTCGCCCGGCTGTGGACCACCAATAACATATTAACTGAATATTAAACACTTCTTCATCAACATGTACAACTTACATAGAAACTGTTTGCTTCGAAAGGATTCGCCTCAATAGTCACGCTTAGTAAACAAACTGACACATTACCAGACGATCCGCATCTTTGATGCTACTCATGCGATTCCCATAGTCACCATTTAGGACACCCACGGACCAAACATTTGTTAATTGAAATGCTTTTTAAGCTGTGAAAACAAACATTTCTATAGAAAATTAATGAGGTTACAAAATGTAAAAAAAAAACTATCCGATGCTAGAGGGTATTTTTACGGATCATGATACGATTCTGTTCATGTTATCATTTTCAGAAAATGAATGATAAATATTGAAAATTATTCGATTAAATGAAGAAACTTACATTGCAATACAGGTGTCGCGAGCGACCATCGAGTAACAATATCACCAAACGTTTATAGAATACCGCTGATGCAAAAAAAAAAACATGTATTTTATATAAATAGTATTAAGATTTTTTACATTAATTAATAATGTATTTTTTTAGTAAAATTATTTTACAGTACCATTAATCTTTAATCGTACCATTCTCGCCGTAACAAAAAACAGCTTTGTACCGAGGCGTCCGTCGTCACCTCAGCTGGCGGCACTTGTTTTAAATATTTATGTTTCTCATGACCTTTCATTTATGTTTAAAGTGGTTTTAGTTACAGTTATTTGAAGCCGATAAGATTTTCGATAAGTGGAAACAATAACCATAACATATAAATGTTTATTTTATTTTGTACCGCTCTTTGTTTCTAACGGATCTTGATAAAGTGTACTTACTGACAATAAATTTTATTTTATGAATGAAATATCATAAGTTTTTATATTATTTTTATGTTCTTACAATCAATACAACATATTCTTCCTGAATGAACCGAAATTATGCATGTAATAATTATAATAATTCTTCTTTTTCACTTGCAAGCATTTGCTAAAAATTCGACAATAGACAGTTTGCGCGCGCTTTGTAAACTCATTTTCAAAACCTTTTTGTGTATATATTTTATAACGTCTTCCTTTATTTTTCTTATACAATCATATAGATATAACATTTAGCAATTACAAGTAAAAGTATTTACTATGGTATTCCAATAAGAAATATACTATTATTCATCTTATTAGAAATCTTGACCGTTATGAATTGTTCGCGTAGAGGTTTTTTGTTTCTACTTTTTTATCAATTGAAACATAAAAAAGTTACTGTTGTTGTAACTTAAATCATTCAAAAACATTACGTAGTAAAGATAAATAACATTATTTACAGTTTTTTTTTTAAAGAAAATCCAACTAAAATCAAAATCACAAAACTTCAACGATTACGCAACTAACTAATGTAAAATGATTTTCATTACATAATTTAATCGTGTAGCATAATGGCGACATAGTTTCCAACTTCCCAGAAGGTAGATAAGGTAATGATTCGGATTTTCAAAATTTCAAATTTTGACATATCGCCGAGGCCAAATCGAAACCATACCACCGTCGATAATATACTTGTTTCGCCTCTGAACTCAGATGAAGTAAACTCTGTTGTTGTTTAGTGATATTAGGAGTAGTGGTGTTAGGATTAGTGTAGACGGGGATAGTGAACACAATTAAGGGAGAGTGAGAAAAAATTTGACCTACCGGAATCAACAGTCCGAAAGTTTATAAAAAGTAAAAAAAAATTACGGAAGCTGTGAAAGGATCTTGAATTCAAGCACCATTCGTAAACATCACTGTATTATCGCTCAGATGGAAACAATGTTAAAATTATGGTGTGATAATCAAGTAAGACTTAAAAATTGTCCTGTTGACCAAAACACAGTGTGCTTTTAAGCTAAGCAGATTTTAGAGAGACTAAAAGAAAAAGCTGGGGAGGCGGCCAAAAACTAAGAATTTAAAACTATTTGAAGATCTTGCTAGGTCATTTGAGGTAGTATAGGCTCTTAAACATGATTCTTCTCAATTATTGTTTTCTTTAGACGCTGGCCCTAATTTCACAAGCTTTATAGGTACGCGATTTCAAATTACACGGCTATCTCCTGGTCCCACCTGAACTTGTTTTGTGTTTACTTGTATTGTGCCAAAACAGATGTATAATAACATTTGCAGAAAAAAATTACATTACTTTAAAATTTCATTTCTTATTGATTTAAAAAAATATAACAAACAAAATGAAAAACTTCAATAAACTTTTGATCGAACTTTAATATACTTGTTAAGTATGTTATATGAGAAGGACTACGTCGACTTTTGTGAAAACAGAGATCAGAAAAAAATTGTTTATTAACAATTGTATAACTTTTTGAAACATCGAGATAAAACATTTTTCCAACGAGGAGTTACTCTTTCAAGTGTCCAGATGATACCAGAATTTTTACAAAATTCAAGAATCTTTTTGTGATTTTCATTATTTCTTATCGTTTCTGAGTTTTTTTTTCATCTGGAACCCATTTTTTTTTTGTCAATATCAATTGCAATGTTTGTTTGCATGAAAAAACATCTTTCTCATAATAATATTCCAAATCGAATTAACCATATGTTGGCGCGACTTCTAACGCCGCCTAGCGACGCACCGGAACACCAAACTTTTAGCTACGAATCAGAGCTCGTCATTGTTAGCAACCAATCACAGCACGTCGTGCAATTAGTTATAAGATCTGTCCGTTTTAAATTTTGATTATTACCTGATACACACTGTTAGCAATAAGACGACTTAAATATAACCAACAAACGTTCAATAAATCAATCATTGAAGAGCACCTGCCTCCCGTTCCTGTACATGAAGTGGTCCTATCGAGCCGAATAAGGAGTTCAAGCTTGAAATCTCCGAAGATTCGTCGCATTAAAATACGAAGAGGAGATTCACGTATCGAGCGAAGAGCTGCAACGTTAAGGCATCGACAGACAGGAGTGGCAGGTTTGAACTTCCCGTCCGTTACCCCATCTCATCCTTCGATAGGTGTTGATTTCGTGCTGATATTCCATTTCCAGTGCTCAAGTGGCGGTACCTACCTGCGCAACGGCACCCACCTTGGTTCGCACGCATATACAAATTGGCAACTGTAAGTACTCTTGATTTCCTTAAATCCCAAAATGAGTGAGCCCAAATTGTCAGATTTAATTAAGAAAAGAGGAGTTTTAAAAGGTCGATTAACTATGTTTGAAAATTATGTTAAAAAGTTCACTTTACCCTTGACTGAACAACAGTCATTAGAATTAAATTTACGTGTCGAGAGTACTTCGAGTTTGATAGAGATGTATAGTGAAATACAGACTAAAATTGAAGAAGAGGTAGCGGAAGATCTCGATCTTGTAAAACAGCTGGAAGAGAGAGATCGTTTCGAAAATCAATTTTATTGTGCTGTAGCTTCTGCAAAACTTTTATTGAGAAAGGAAGTAGCTGACAAGTCTAGTGTTTCAACATGTAAGCTGATAGGCATAAAGTTACCCGATATTAAAATACCTTCCTTTGACGGTTCATACGATTGCTGGCTAGAGTTTAAAAATTCTTACGTTAGTATGATTCATGATCGCGATGATTTAGGTCCTGTTCAAAAATTTCATTATTTAAAATCGTCATTGTCCGGTACCGCGGCACACGTCATAGGTGCATTAGAATTTACGGCTAACAACTATTCTCACGCATGGGAGCTATTAGAGAATAGATTTAATAATCCGCGACTATTGGTTCATAATCATGTGAAGGCATTATTTAAAATTCCATCGTTAAATAAAGAGTCCGCTTCCCAGATTATGAACTTAATAGATATTGTTTTGAGAAATTTGCGTGCCCTTAAAACGTTAGGTGAACCAACAGATTCATGGGACACTTTAATCATTTACATGGTCGTTTCCAAATTAGATCAGGCCACTGAACGCGAATGGGAAAATTTTCAAGGTACATCTAGTTCGTTAATTGAATCAAGGTCAGCTTTGAAACTGGATAACTTACTTAAATTTCTTAAAGACCGCGCCGACGTTTTAGAAATGATAAAAGTGAACCATAACAAATCCCACGAGAACAAAGGCGGCGAACAAACGCGCTCTAAGAAACAATATACACATACTCATGTTGCTACGAACGTTACTAACAATAACAATAAGGGTAATACGAAACTAAAACAAAGCCGCGTGTGTGTGATGTGTCATGGTAATCACGCGATTTATTCCTGTTCAAGGTTTCTTAATTCGTCTATCCAAGAAAGGAATAAGATAGTTAAAACGCATCAGCTGTGCATCAATTGTTTACGCGCAACCCACCCACTTGACGAATGCAAGTTTGGGCCATGTAGGTTGTGTGATAAAAGGCACAACAGTTTGCTTCACATTGATGGGCAGGTAGACGGCGCATCACAGGTGAGCGGGTCGAGTGCATCAGCACAGCCGGTCACCGCTAACGTCTCCACTGTCTCGTCATCATTACACGTTACGGCTAACCATTCAGAATCGCAAAACAGTAATCAGGAATATACGTTATTACCCAACGTTTTGCTGTCCACAGCGTTAGTGGACATAGCAGATTATAATAACAAATATCACACTGTACGCATTCTGCTAGATAATGGTAGTCAACATTGTTTCATAAAGAAATCGTTATGTGAAACATTAAATGCACCGTTAATACAGTCCACTTATCACGTTGCTGGGGTAGGTCAAATAATTTCGCAGTCCACCCACATTTGTAAAATAAAATTACGTTCAAGGTTAAATTCGTTTTGTATGAACATTGATTGTTTAGTGTTGGCGTGCATTACAAATCAATTACCCACATTTAGTGTCGATGTAAATAATATGAATTTACCTGATAATATTCAACTTGCGGATCCGAACTTTCACTCACCGTCAGACATCGATATACTGATAGGCGCGGATAAGTTCTGGGAATTATTGTGTGATGGCAAAATTAAGTTGAATAAAGGACCTTATTTACAAAATACAAAATTGGGTTGGATAATGTCGGGACCTT